TTCACAAATACGCGCATCATTCTTATAAGATAACCGATAAAATGAGAAAACTGTGGCGTGACGAATACAATTGCGTTCATTCCAGAACACCACCGAAGAGAACGATGTCCAAGACGTTGACCCTGACGTCCGCGCGACGTGGCCACACGGACGAGCTCTGGCATCATTCGCGAGAGCCGATCAAACAACCCCTGCTGAAGAAACTCGTGTCCAAGGAGGAGTTAGCGGAGGAAGCGTGCTTCGCCTTCAACGCCATTCTGAAGTACATGGGTGACCTGCCGACGAAACGACCGCGCATCGGCAACGAGTATACAGATTTGATTTTCGACGGGCCGTTGAAGAACGAGATTTTACGAGACGAGATCTATTGTCAGATTATGAAGCAACTCACCGACAACCGTAATAGACTGAGCGAAGAACGAGGATGGGAGCTGATGTGGCTCGCCACCGGATTGTTCACTTGCAGTCAGAGCCTCTTGAAGGTATGCTCGAGACACTTACTGATGGATTTTATCAGCACTATTCTGCCGATTTACGATTGAAAATCGAGAGATGTAATATTTTGAAGTGAAATCTCGCGTATACGACTTATTTGAGAACCTCTTCCTACAGATCACTTTGTACCTTTTTATATAACTGTGTAGAAAGCAGTGTTTTTGTTTATAATTTTACTATTCTTCACCCATATGAGTGAATTTATTTCAGTAGTGATGAAATACGTCAGACTCACTCTTTAATTTTGAATACAAAAATATGATTCAGAGGGGAAGAATTTATTTTATGCGAGCGCATAAAAAGTTTTTCGAGTAATTTGGCTGTCACTCTACCTGACGAGTGGAATTTCATGAAAGAGATTTAGAGCTTACGCCTCTGACTACTCTACCTTCCATTTCAGGAATTAACGTTGTTCCTACGTACAAGACGTCATCCTATCTCGCAAGATTCTCTACAAAGACTGCAGAAAACTTTGCGTAACGGTCAACGTAAGTACCCGCCGCATCAAGTGGAAGTGGAAGCCATTCAGCACAAAACCACGCAAATATTTCACAAGGTTTACTTCCCGGATGACACGGACGAGGTATCGGTTCATACTTATTTTATAAAGCACCATATATTGTTACCGCCATTTCTCTCGGCAATCATTGCTATTCTATTCGACAAGTTACATCATAATAATAATGATAAATCTCATTTGTAGGCATTCGAAGTTGACTCGTCTACTAGAGCGAAAGACTTCTGCCAGAACATCGCGCAGAGACTTAATTTGCGGTCCGCCGAAGGCTTTAGTTTGTTCGTCAAGATTGCCGATAAAGTCATTTCCGTGCCGGAGGGCGATTTTTTCTTCGATTTCGTGCGTCACCTGACTGACTGGATCAGAAAGGCGAGACCTTCGCGAGACGGTACGTGTTTTAGCGACTTTTAAGTCCGTATATTAACGTTTGTTGAAACTCGTCTCATGTAAAATATTTAGATTTGAATTAGATTTGAATTTTTCAGTGAGAAAATCTTATAATATGTGTAAGATCATATTTATAACAAATTAAATATGAATTTTTCAGCTGAATCACGATTACAAATGTAATGTCGCATATATTATACGATTCAAATAAAAAACTCAAATCTAACTCTAAATTAAGATCTGGGCATCTCACGTGATATAAATTCAAGTAACAATTATTAATATGGGCCTTAGAGTTACATGTAAGTTCTTCAGTTGTGTGATTGCAAATGTAACGTCATATATATCGTGTAATTCAACTTCAAAAATTGAAATCTAACTTTGCATTCAACATCTCACATGAGAATAGTTTCAAGTAAACGACTATTGATACAGATCTGTTTGTCACAAGTTCCAAGTGATAATTATAAATATCGGTTTTACTAGCGCAAGTTTCAATGTAATTAATTAAACGATTTCACATCAATTTAGGAGTATCGCCGCAATTCACGTATCAAGTCTTCTTCATGAAGAAACTCTGGACAAACACAGTTCCCGGCAAAGACAGAAACGCCGACTTGATCTTCCACTTCCATCAAGAACTTCCTAAGTTACTAAGAGGTGAGTGGCGATATTTAATCTCAGCATGGTACGTTTCATATGTCGTTTTGTATAATAAAAGTCAATTCATGTAACACATTATAATTGTAATTATGTATCTTTACAAAATTAATTGTACTTGCTTACTTCTCTTTTAAAACTTTTACTCTTTTTCTACTGATTACGCGTCACATGGAGGCGAGTAAATCTTTTTATAAACATATACGAAACGTCAAGCTGTCAAATTGGACACATTTCCACTTGCTAAATTGATCAATAGTTATGAAAAACGCGTAGCTAGAAACGAGTGCAATCGGTGGGAAATTTTTAATAACTATCGATCTAATAAATGGTATCAATATCCATGCGTTTGAGTGTACAACATATTGCATAGAGTTATGAATTGACCTTCGCACTACTACTTTGCCGAATGTGCAGGCTATCACAAGTGCACGAAAGAGGAAGCGTCGAGACTTGCAGCTTTGGTGTACAGGGTACGATTCGGCGAGAGCAAACAGGAATTACAAGCGATCCCGTGAGTGTATTTTCCACGTGCAACATATTGTAGCTCGAGATTTTTGCAAAATCAAACGTTGACTATTTTCAATTGCAGACAAATGCTGAGAGAACTCATACCGGGCGACCTGATCAAGATACAGAGCGCCAATGATTGGAAGAGATCCATAATCGCCTCCTACAATCAAGATGCTGGTAAGTGCGAAGAGAATTCAACGAGGAGTCTATACGACAAGAAGAGATTAAGATTATTCTCTTCCTTTGTTCCAGGCATGAGTCCGGAAGACGCGAAAATTACATTCCTGAAGATCGTGTACCGATGGCCGACATTCGGCTCCGCATTTTTCGAGGTGAAACAAAGCACAGAACCGAATTATCCCGAGCTATTGCTGATCGCCATCAACAAACACGGCGTGAGCCTTATACATCCTCAGTCGAAGGTGAGACGAAGAGGGCTCATACTTGAAGATCACGACACTATTTATTTTAACCGGTCAAAATTGGCTGCCAACTGACAATCGTTTTTCAGGACATACTGATCACACATCCCTTCACGAGAATCTCCAACTGGTCGTCCGGCAACACCTACTTCCACATGACAATAGGAAATCTCGTGCGCGGCTCGAAGCTCCTTTGCGAAACCTCGTTGGGTTACAAGATGGACGACCTCCTGACCTCCTACATTTCGCTGATGCTCACGAATATGAATAAGCAACGCACGATACGAATCAAATGAACAGGAACGACGACTTCGAGATAATCCGCCGCGAGTAAACATTCCACTACGAGGTGCTAACGTTAAGCGTGTGCTCAATGATTCTCTTCTCATGTTGCTTCTCTACAAGCGCACGCGCTTGTATAAGTTAATTTAATAAGAATTATTTCGTATATATCACATCCCCAAATCGTATGTCCGCGCGCAATATCGCGTCTCTCGTTAGATTCTGACTGTCACGGGAGAAATTGTTTCAACGTTATATTTCATGTACTTCATATATATCACACATTCTGTTCATTTTTTATATTATACACAACGCGTAAATTCTACGCGGAGGTGCGTTTATAGAAAGATTTTTCAACGCTATAATTTATATACCGTAAAACATAGGAGAAAACGTCCACTTTCTATCACTTTCATATCTACCTGTTAATTTATGGTTCATTGATAATCGATATAAGGGGAACAGCAATTTATATGTACACAAGTTATTAGCCAAACGATTTGTACATGATCTACTTACGTTTAGAACTTTCTCTCTTTTTTTTCTCCCTCCCTCTCTCTTTCTCTCTCTCTCTCTTGTACGTTAACGTAACACGGGCATGATTAGCAGCAGCTACGCATAATTTTTACGCGAGCATGATGTGAAATAATTCGTTGTAACGGGATCTGCGAATGATGACAGATCTGCGCAGAGTGACAAACGGTCAGAATTTTATCCGTCCAGTGAAATGTGAGCCGCTTGTTTCGTAAGCGGCGTATATAAGTGTAATTCCTTTCGAGGACCGGCCGAAAATTCACGCGACAAATACGGGTACGCAAGACATAACGGTGTGTATCTATTAGAAAAGAAAATTCTCTCTCTCTCTCTCTCTCTCTCAATATTTCGCCCTACTGTACTTACTAATATAGTAATAGTTTCGAAATAAACGGCTCGTGTAAGAATGTAATTACTATGAAATCGCTTTTATAATTGTGAATAAAGACGACCACGTTCTTCACGCGCAAAGTACGAGCGTTAATCGTGGGTAAATTCCCATGGTATGTATACCAGCATTCCCCTCTTTTCCGAGATCACCTCGCGAAGACATTCCCAAGGCGATCTTATCTCACTTCCTCTTGGAGAAGATGACGGTGTTCGATTATCTCTCGTAAGGAGGAAGGAAAAGGGTCGAACTGTAAACGCTAATGGCTAAGAGCGATGGATTCATTTAAAAGGACAGAAATTTGCAAATATAATTTTATAATCACTTACTCTCTCATCTATGTTTTAAAATTTATTTTTAAAAAATTGAAAAGTATATACTAATGCGCTAATTCACAGATGAGTCAAGTGACTTTTTTAGAAAATAAATATGAAGAACGTGCTTTGCGTTCCTTGTTACGAAGCTATCGATGCGTTACTTCGCAGATGTGTTGAGCACTAATAATAAGCCTTTTCAGGAGAACTGAAAAGTTACTGAAACGTTTATTGAATGTTTATAACTTTGTAATGTATTTATAATTTTATAACAAGGAACGTGGAACACGTTTTGTCTCTTTTCACAAAAAGTCGCTGTGAACTAAATGTTGATATTTATAAAATATATCGTAACTTGTACCTCCCTACTTGTCGAAGAGAACGTGCGCGGTCGCTCGTTATAATCGTCACATTACGCGTGCGAGAATTCTCACGTCGTTTGGGGATTGGGAGATCGATCGGGAAACGTGGTGGCAATAAAGATCATGTAATATAAACTTTCAGTTTATTCTAAATCATATAGAGGCATAAAAATTCATATCTATATGCATCGTCATTGTACGTTCGGTGTAACTACAATAAAGCATACGTATATGTATATGTGTGTGTTGTGTGTATATATATATACATATATATGCATCTATATATATATGTATATATATATATATATAAATTTTTAGTGTGTCCGAGTCACAGAGAAATTCTAAGAACACTCCGGACTGTACGAAGCGGATTCCAAAGTCATTTGTTTTTTAAAACTCAAATAATGCATGTCCTCGTGTGTGTGGTATAATTTCGAAAATGGCCGTCCGCGCGAACGTCTCACGATAATTTCTGGATTTCCAAGAAAGATTGGGAGAAAATACAATCGTTACAATCGTCTAGATTCGTTTCCTATATGTTTCACTAGCGTTACGTTAATACGTGTTACCTGCCCATGATGAGTGACCAAGTGAGAATTAATTTCATGTAAAGCACTTCAAAAGAAGACTCGTAACGCAACAGTCGCCGAGAAGGAGAATACGTAAAATCGTAATCATAAATGTTGTATACACGTTGATGTATATATATGTATATATATTATACGCATATATGTATACATATTATATGTATATATAATGTATATACACATATGTGTATATATATATATATTTAAATATGTATAATATATACACAAAATAACACGTACATGTATTATATCAAAAGAAAATCCGTATTTCTCTCTAAATTGTCACACGGACGATATGTCATCGTCTCTGTCTTTGATATAATTGTATATATAAAATAAGAAGGGGAGAAATTGGAGAAATGTACACGAATTCTACTGACTTATAAGCGTCTGGCCGTCTGCATAATCAGCACCAATTCGCACCGGCACGCATGCACTCGCTCGAAGCATCGGTATGCATCGTCCCATGCATCTCCTAATAAATAATGAAGAGTCCGTCGACGTGTCGCGGCGCGCGTGTACGAATTTACAAATGTACCAAATGTCGAGCACGTCGCGCACGGTTTCAAAAATACACTGCGTACTCCGCCCCGTCCTCTGCCCTCCTCCTCTTCCTCCTATGTACACGATGAGCCTTTCACACAAGATCGCCACGAGCTCGTACTTCGGTACAGTTTCCCCGGTAGTCTCTTCTGTCCGTGCAATTCTGTTCCCTCTCCCTCGCTTTCACCAGGCGATTTTTGTACTTGAAGGGACAAGGAATTCTCGCAGAACCCCTATCGGTGTGCTTCCCTCTCTTCCATCCTCCAAAAAAAGGAAAATTAGAAATTTGCATGACGATTCTCTCCAGTCGAAGTGACGACAAGGTGGACGCTATTTCGAGAACCGCTGTACCGAGTTCCGAGCGTGGAGATTTTTCTCGTGACGGATATTAGTGTTAAAAGTACAACCATCGTCCGATGACCGATATGCAAGTGTGTAGGCTAAGACTGTGTGTTACTCCCGTTTGCAATTACATCAACTGTACGCACGCTCGTCTCTACTAACTACACTCGTTCATGACAGTTTATGTTGTTTTTGATCCTCCTTAAAATACTACGAGATGCGACAATATAATTTCAAAAAAAATGTGTACACGCGCGTGTATTGTCGCGGTTAAATTGTCAGAACCGATCTCCCGTGATATGATCCGAGCCAACCGGTGATGACTTCCCGTTCACTTTTCTCGAAAACTCTATCGTCAAATTCCGTGTATACATCAATCGTCTATACATAGTTCGCATTAAGCCGTTACAACCCACGATCGCTATATAAATTATTATCTCTGTAAATCTCCGTATCAACAACTTACGTGTCTAGCTTACGATTTAGCGTTAGCGCGTGCGCGCACTTTGAAGCGCGCAACACGACGTGTCGCGCTTTCGGGCGCGAGTTAGGCGAAACGCTACGTCTTCGTATTGTCTAAGTTTCGCGCCGCGTTAGCGTCGATTTCGAGCAACAAGTCCTTCGTGACAAAGTATGAGCAATCGCCGTCACTCTCACTGCCGCCGCCGCCGCCACCACCGCCGTCATCGTCATCGTCGTTGTCGTCGTCGTCGTCGTCGTTGTCGTCCTGGTCATCGTCCGGATCGGGACGACACAACGTTGGTGTTATTATATCGTCCGTATCACTACAACGTAGACTTTGGTTCGCGTTATGATTATCTAGAAGACATCAGAGACCCGACTGCGGCGGCTGATGGGTATTCCACGGCACGTCTGCGATCGCAGGCGGTATACTCGCTTGATTGTGCATGGCACGCGGCGCACGCATGATCTCGTCGGCGGGCGGACAGTGCGGGCGCGGCCCCGGCTCGGGCGTGTACGTGAAGGTGAGGCCGGTCGCGTAGATGATGCCGTCGTTGCGCACCAAGGAGACCGGCACCTGGGTCGGCTGGCGCACCCACAACCACTCGCCGCGAAACAGCGAGATGTCGGGCACGACGCAGAGCATGCTCTCTTGGCACCTGTACATAGTCTCGGCCTCCACGTCGCCGAACCACACCTGCAGATTCGGCGTGAAGTTGTCGCCTGTGAGCTCGAGCATCGCCACGTCGCCACCGCCGTTGAGGTGCAGGCTGTGGACAAGCGGCACCGGCGTCACCGGTGAACGCACCGGTCCCATGCCCTCGAAGAACTGGTATTCCGCCTTGTCGGTGCTGATGATCGTCCAACAGGCGCCGTCGTTGATCATCTCCTTGTTGGCCTCCTTCGGGCAGGGCGTAGCCTGGAACTGTATTATGCGCTCCTGCGACAGACACAGGTACATGTGGTCCGTGTCCTTCATGTAGAAGGCGCATTTGTGCAGCTGAGAGACGGGATCGTCCGCCTCCAAGCTGGCCATTTGTTTGTCGACCTTGCGGATCACCAGCCGCGGCAACGCCATTCCCGTGACGGAGCACACGAGCTTCACGGTGCTGCCGTAGTGCACGTATCCGTCGCGCACCTGAAACTCCTCCGACTCGCTCTCGTTGTCGTCGAGGAGGTGAATGGTGAACGCGCCCCATTGCGTCGAGCTCGCGTGAAAATTGCCGTTCTCCACGTGGAGATAGCGCGTGCTCACAGTCTGCGAACGCAACCGATTGAACAGCGCTACCTTCGTGCCGCTGGCGATACACAGGTCGGCGTTTTTCAAAGACTGTTTCTTCTTGGACGGTTTCGAGATCACCTTGATCCGCTTGCTGTGAAACACGCCGATGTCGTGGCCACTGCCGTAGAACATTTTCACGGAAAGCATGAAGTGCTTCCGCTTGTCGGAGTCGGAGATGTAGAGAGTCTTCGCCGCGCAGTATTGCTTGCCATTGTTGAGATCCAACTGCTGCATGTCCTGGTCGGAGTTACCGATGCCGATGAAGGCGCACAGTTGGGAAGTCTGGTCGGTCTCGCCCTCGCGCAGCATCTGCTCCTGACGCATCCTCCAGCCATCGCCGAACAGGTAGATACACGGCGGCGGGCAGAAGAAACGCTTCTCATTGCCGTACGACTTCTGCGCGACTTTGGCGTGCAGGATCACGATCACCATGTCGCTGCGATCGCGCAGATAACGCTCCATCGCTTCGCGCGTCAGCCGTTGATCCTGATGATCGGGCCTGTAGATGCCGGAGCCGAATCGCGGGTAGACCGACATGACCGAGGTCGGCGAGGGCGGTGATTGCATGCCATGCGCCATCGTGGGCAGACCGAACTGGTGTGGCATATTTAAGTGTCCGAATTCGGTTCGCGGTAAGAGGAAGATTAGGCTGCCACTGCGGCGCCGTTATATCTTCATTTTCCAAGCGCGTCCAATGCCTTCCGATTTTCTACCTACAATGAATACAAAAGTGATTAATCGTGTGAAAAGAGTGCCATCCGGATTCTATAATCATCGAGAAAAATTTAGATGACTAATATGATATAAGCTGATGAAAGAGAAAAGTATAATTACCGGCATCCCATGAGAATAGTGCGACAGTAGCATGCAATGGGCCGAGCGAAAAATTGGAGGAGAATTAAACACAAATCAAATACAATCATCAGTTGAAATCGTGTGATTAATAATAGACACGGGAAAATATCATTCTAGTGCTAAGAAAAATGATTAATCAGTTTATTTTTCTTCTTTTAAGTAGTTATCTTCAACAAAGAATATTTTCTTGACAACACAATATATTCATTAAAATGTTTACAATCTTAATACTCTTTAGTCTTAAAATATACTCACTAAAATATACTCATACAGTTTCAGAATATACGAATCATAAATTTTATAAAAACATATTATCACATGTATATTCAAAAGAAGAATTTATTCTCTTTACAAGAACATTATAAAACTATCGAGAAAGACTCGACTTTGTGTAATAAGCAACGCAAATTTTTGTTTCAATTATTGATTGAAATATTAAACTTATTAGGATTCAGAATGTCTTTTAAATAAATTTGATACGCTTGTGATAAACTTATGATTCATTTACAGATATACAAACTCATGAAATACTTGAAAAAAAGTAACATGGGAACAAGCTTGGATGGGCTATGAATGTGTGTTTTTCTATGTGTACGCACAATATTGACCAACTGATAAAAAGTTTTTTATGAGCTGTACACATCGAGTGGATAAAAGTCAAGTGCAAGGCGTACAGCTCAGAATAGCGTGTTATCACGGTTTAAAAAATGTAACAAAATGTAGTCGCGGTAATAAGCAATAGTGACAATACCGTTACTCGTTTGTGATTAAAGCGTACCAAACTGCATACAAATGTCTGCTCATTTAAAGCTTTAGCGTGAGAAAGATTTTTGCTTTTTGCAGGATGCGGGACGTAATTAACTCGAGATATCTTTCTTCAAATGAGCTACCAAGAATTGCTGGTCTTAGCACAGGAAAGAGGAAACGTTCGCATACACACACGCACAGCGTGAGAACCGAGCTGGGCTCATTTTTCCTGCATGAATTAAAGCACTCCTGGGCCCATTATGGCCGTACACGTAGATTTTATATTTATACAGGGGAAAACGCATATTGTAATAATGATCAATAGCGCGACTTTCCGAGTGCGTTATACAAACATCGCATTAATTGCACGAAATCCATGTTAATGCGTGGAATATGTGCGTGAATGCAAGTTTTATCATTTTCTGCATTAATTGCCTACCTCGCGAAAATATCGTAATTCCTCTTTACGCTATCGTTTTATCTTCGAAATGGAATTTCATAAAAAACCACTCGAACAAATAAAAATGAAATTTCTTTTATACTGGCGATAATGATTTTGAGCTGAAACACCAACAACCATTTGGCCTTGTAATATACATGGCATTAAAATTCAAATGCACATGACTTAATGCCACAAAGGATTTAATTTATGTTAATGTACATAATGTGCAAAAATGTTAAATAGGAAATAATAAATGTGTGTTAGAAAGATAATAGAGCAATATCTGTGCTAAAAGAGAATAGAAATAAGTAATACGATACATGATTTAACACTGCTTAAAATAATGGATAGAAAATTGTAGAAAATATTGACTTTTCTTTCCAATCATGATTTTGCATCTCACTTTTCAAAATATATTTATATAAGAAATTTACTTATAAAATTTACTTATAAAATTTACTTATAAATAAATTATAAATACATCATAAATATTATAATTTATCATATCTTTTGTATAAATATATATTTTTTTATTATCATATTCTTATATTATCTTATTAACTTATTATCCTATATCTTAATAATATATATTTACAAAAGATATAATAATCTATAATATGCAATTTATTTATTTATGAGATTTCTTAAATATGTTCTGAGAAAGGGGATGCAAAATCACTAATGAAAAGAATAGTCAGCATTCTCTATCATTTTCTATCCATCATATTAAGTAAAGGAAAATATTCTTCAATTAAGGTAGTTTTAACACTGGAAAAATCAAAGCGATCAAAATGATAAGATGATTTGTCATTTTTTAGCAAAATTGCCCAAACTTATAACAATGCATTTGATATTTTTAACTGAACTTGAATAACATTAAAAGAAGGCAAATAAACAATTTCCCCCTTTGCATTAGATATATTCTTCAAACCGTATCATTCTAACCATTCTGATAGAAATAAATCATTATTTTGGTGGTTTTAATATCAAATCAGGTTATTCCAAATCACAGAATTCTTTTTGAAACTAGAACCTAGTGTACTTAATTACTGACCAAATGACTTAATTACTATCTGAATACTCCAGAAATAGAAATATGAGTTTACACATTATTCAGCAAGAAAAGCACATGACTAACTGATTCTGATGATACACAAGAAAATGTACAAATGCAAAGTATACAACTAGCACTGCCATACAAACGCTGAGCTCGCTCAGATGCTACAACATTGTCATTCTAATTTATCAGACATAGGTTCCTTTCAGTTGAACTAGCTTGCACCTTTGCTGCTGTTTGTGAAGCAGTAAAGCTATGTAACATAGCATTAAAGGGAACAAGAATGAAACTCCAATGTAGTACTAGCCCAAATGAAGAGAACAGACCTTATATATTTATCAAATCATAAATGACGCGTGATAAATAATAGCCAGATCAACAATGACAAACACTGCCCTGTCGGCTTCCTGTCAACGATTGCGTGCAGTGGCAGAAGTTTAGTTGGCAAAGTTAGAAATCGAAAAGAGATGGACGAAGCGAGAGCAGCTCGAAAGCATCTCTTGGACGGCACTTTCGCGTCAACAATGATGAGATATTAGACAAGGCGAGGGGTATGCTGCGTTCGTGAGAAGCGCACAAAGTGCATTCGCTCGGCGCGGCCAAAGCGTCGTGCGAAATAATCGATTTGTAGCGCGAGGAGACGCGGTCGAAGCGGTGCGTGCGAGCAGGCCGAGTGCATTTGTTTATTTACTTCCCGGCGCGAGCGAGGAGGTTACGCACACCGAACACCAACAGGAGGTACAGGTTACGTTACGTTACGAAGGGTTGAACGCACTTACCTCCTCATCGTCGCCGAGGCGCCGAGTTCAGCCGCGTGCCCGCGTGCATCCTCCGAGCTATCGATCATCCGGAGCAGCCGGGAAGTCCCGGCAATCGTTCACCGTCCGCGGATCCTTCCGCGTCCTCGTCGCCTACTCCCCCTAATCCATTCAAAAAACACCTGTTCACTTTCCCAATTTTCCGAACAGTCCTGCCAACGCCGGCGAGCGAAACGCGGCGGCAACCGCGGCGCCGGTGGAGTCGCGTGAGACTGCGCGCGCACGCGCGCGCACTTTGAATCCGATTCGCTGCGGTTCGCGCGCGCCTACGTTCCCGACTCCTCGCGCGCTCTCTCTCTCTCTCTCTGCGGTGTCCCGACGAGGAATTTTCTCACGTAGCCAGCGAACGCGCTTTTCCTCGCGGCCTATGCCGCACGAAGTACAGTCGACGTACGGTCGTTTGCACAAAATTCGCGACACTTCTCCTCGGGCATGTTTACGAACGCATGTTTACGAAGTTAACGAACCTCTGCGCGCTAACTTGAGCATTCAGAGAACTGTCAGTTTTCAATACGAAGTGTACGAAAGTAATTTATAAGCAGAGAGAGAGAAAGAGACAGATAAAGGAAGAAAAAGGGAGAAAGGGGAAGATAAAGAGATTCCCGAGAAAAAAAATTCATATATAATTATATGTGAATTTTGTCCATATATGTAATTTTATATATGACCATGTCTAATTATAGATGTCCGTATATAAGATAAGTACTGTTGAATGAAAAAAGGAAAACATAATTTAACTCAATTAAACGTCATTATGAGTTACCACAAACATAAGCATTTACTTCAATTATATTTTCATAACGGCATACTTTTCAATGTGCGCATATATAATTATATATGATTATATACGATCATATGATCGTGGTCGATCATACAATCATGGACAAAATCCATATGTGATCTCTTTTTTCCAAAGTTAATCCCTTCGGGCAGTTTAAAGAGAAGGGAAGAGAGAGAGAGAGAGAATTGTAAATATTAAATCTGTCCTTTTTAGCTGAGGTATAAATGAAATAGATTGCACCGTTTGTGTTTAGAGTGAAACAAGAATATAATCTAAAGTATACATTGGAGAAAAAAGAGGGAACAAAGTCCCCGTGCAGCACTGGTTCAGCTAAGAACAGGCCTGTGTGTCGCACAAACTTGTCCAAAAACAGTGACGCAACCTGAATGCAAACGACTGTACTCGTAATGTTGTTCGAGAATGTCGATCGAGAAAACGTACCCGAGACGTGCCTGAGACGCGTACGCGAGAGAATGTCGCGGCGCTAATCACACGGCGACGAGCGCGGCTCACACAACGTCGCGAATGCGCACAACGATCGCTTCTAACGCGCGGTCGACGGGCAACTAAGTTCAGAGCGAGTCCCGGCGACCGACGTAGAGTTATTACCGCCGCGTAAGTGGCTGCACTATAGAACGAGAGAAAGAGCGAGAGAGAGAGAGAATGCACTCAGAAAAGGGTGGGGGGCGTCGCGCTAGTTCATAGGCTCGCGCTCCTCCGAAATATTCAAAACAAATAGCCGCGGCGGCGAGAACGCGTTACCGCATCAGATGATGCGCGCCGATGTTCGCATCAATGAACGAAAATCCGGCGCGAAAGTCGATCAGTCCGAAAATCGCCGTCACGAAGTTTCGACGTGCACGTCAATCGTGCCAAACCGGCGCCTACTCGTTCGCTAAGATGAACCTCGGGACAACGCTTTCGACACGAGTCGGCTTGCTCTCGCCTTGCACCAAAGGTAAATTTCTTTATCTTTACGATCCAGTTCGATCCAGTGATCGTTACACTCGAACAATCCCGATCGAGAGAGAGGCCGCATATCGCTCCCTGAACCGCTCCGCGAGATATAGATATGAAAATAACTCAATTAATCGCCATCAAGTACTAACCAACGGCAAACGATATGTCCCGACACGTCGATGCACTTTCGAGGTTGTATCGTTCAAGAAGTAGATCGTACACACACACACTCTCTCCCTATATGTATATATATATCTCTCTCTCTCTCCTTTCCTCTTCTTCTAATCGCGATGACACTCTTTTTTTATAATTCCCCGCGATACTTTCCGCGACAGCACGGCGCCCGCGCGTGAACGGTACGTCACTGGCGCTGCAGATTCTATTGTTTTGTCGTTGTACAATGGCCCGGTCGACCCGAGCGCCTCTAGTTCTCTCTATCCCTCTCTCTCTCTCTCCATTCCTGTTTCTCTCTCCTTCTTTCTCTGTCCCTCCCCACCTGACGTGCGCCCTCGCCCCCCAGCCTTGCTCCCCCTCCCCCTGCCCCCGCGGCGCCCCCACGGGCCGTGGAATTGCTGCCGCAAAAGGATGTTGGGGTTACCCTGGGGGGCGTGGGAAAAACCTGCTGTGGGAAAGAGTGGGTGGCCTCTACCTCACTCCACTTCTGCGGTGATGACGATACGATATATATGCCGCATCTATGAATGTCGCGCGCGAGCTTGTGTGCGTCTGCACGTGTTGGGTGCAGTTATGTGTGGTGGGTACGCGTGTGATCTATATGGTGGACACACATATATGTAACGTCGCGCGTATCCGCACAGGGCCTCGTCGCGTGTGCGAGAGGTGCAGCCCGATGCTGCGTAATAATACCCGGGGACGTGCGTGCGTACGTGCGTGAGGACGCCGAGAGATCGTCGTCGTTATCGTCGTCGTCGTTGGTCGCGCGACGCGAGTCAAAACGTCCCGGCGTCGGGACATTTCGAAAATATCCACCTTCCTCTGAGACTCCGCGACCTTTGTCGCGCAGCGATCGAGCCTCGAGAGGTCGGTCTTTTCGATGACGATTTCGCACGTTATCTTTATTCTCAGGATGCCTCTATCATCGGCATGATCCTAGAGATCGATCATGAATCTTTTCTCCTAACGTGAATTCGTAAAAAGTGAAAATCCTAACATGAAAATATATGATAATGTTCACCTTTCACCAGTTTATATCGGAGGAAGAGATTCATGATCGCCTCCAAGTATTGCAGAATTATCCACTTTTCGCGATTTTATACCAAGGAAAAAATTACATATTTGATAAGTAAAATTGAGTTCATGTGAAAAGATTTATGATTGATACTCTGGGAGTCGATCATAAATCTTTTCCCCTAGCAATCGTGCAAAGTGAGAAATCTAACTTGAAAATACATGAAAATATTCACCTTTAACAATCCAGATAACACAGAGAATTAAAAAAATAAAAAAAAAAATTTAGTCGTATGTCACCAATTCTGAGTTCATTTTCAGATGCAAGAAAAATTCTTCAGAGTTCAGTTCAGTGAACATTCTTTTTGCACCTAAAAATGAACTCAGAATTGATGACATAGACTGAATTCTTTTGGAATTCTCTGTGCTATCTGGAAGTTTATATTGAAGAAAGAGATTCATGATTGTCTCCAAGTACTGCAAAATTATTCACTTTCATCTCGCGAATTCATCGCGAATTCGCGCTATCCAAAAGACGCCGCATAAACACGCGACTCTTGTCACACATGTCACGGCTTTTTCGGCTCCTTTTTCGTTGTCGGCGTTCCCATTCCCGGTCTCGCGCTGTGATTCGACACGTCGAAAGTCGCCGGCGTCATAGTCATACGAACGCGTCGACCGCAAACGAAGTTTTTACCGAAGTCCGGATCGTGATTCCCACGCTCGTCCTTTTTACAGCGGGGGCGCGAAGATACGTCGGCGCGAGGCCGCTCTGCGAGCGTGATCCCGATACAATCTGCTATTATAATTGTTGCGCGAGCCCTAATTATTATCGCGTTGCCCCGCGGAATGAATAAGACGCGGAACAACGACACATAATTGGCCCCGGCTGCGTTCGAAACTATGCGCGGCGTCGCACATAATTAGCGCTCGCTCTTCTCGCTCTACCAGCCTCATATCGAACAGAATCAACTGTGCGAGAATTTTTTGGTAACATTTTTCACAATTTAAATAATTCCACTTATATAAAATAATTTAAATGACTTTATGCGCACGTATGAAAACATTTTCCTACATGTTTGTATCATTATATCTATTTGTTCTATTTTACATTTTCTTTCCAATTGGTTCGCGCCGATGTCGAAGAGAAATTTCATGTTTAAATATATTTGTCAATTTTGAAAAAAACGTTACGTCTAAGAATATTGGACTGTGATTGGTTAATTGGATTACTGATAAGTATTATTGCATATTTATTTCTGTATACTCTAATTGGTGAATTATATAATAATGTTCTTATTCTAAAATATACACTTTTTGTATAAAATATTTACTAGTTTAAAAGTAAGGTTTAAATATTAAAAATCACATAAACGAAAACTAACTCAATTAAAAATTAAGTTATCATTAAATTAACTTATTAAAGTTAAAAATTAATTATTCAAAACAATATATATATTTTTGTATAATTAAATTTCTAATCAAAGGTTATATAAATTTGCAAATTATTAATAAAAAGATAGTTTTTTTACAAAAAAGCTAAGTATTATCGAATGTTTTATGCATAGGATTTCATTCAAGAAAAGAACTTTAACACTCAGAGATAAAAAATCTTACCATTATCTTTTTAAATTTTTCTTATTCTACATTGTTAGCAGCTCGTAATGATTTAAATATTGATGGATTATTTCAACATATATAATAAAAAGTTAATAAACTATATATATATATGTATATAAAGTTAATAAACTAGAGTTAATGCATTTTAAAATAATTAGTTCAAGTAGTGAAAATTGACTAAACTTAGTAAAAAGTTATCAACTTTTAAGTAATTAATTATCAACTTTTAAGTAACTAATCATTATCCAAATCTGTTTAAAAGTATTCATTTGATCTCCTATTCGTATTTTTATCATTCGAAATTCTTATATCGAAATTCAAATAATATCGAATATTCGATAATTTCGAATATCGATAAACACTTCCGAGATGCGTACCCGCGAATTCGACACACGCGTTCGGCGGTTTCTTTTCGGATCAAGACGTGGAGTTGAATGCGACCGCACGATGTTTGCGCAGCGGTCTCCGCAAGTCCGTCCAATTTAATTTTCATCGTCGCATCGTGTTACGTTTAGACGCGCAGGCACAAATACATTTGTCCGAGAGACGCAACTGATCGCGTGTGACTTGCCGCAAATATGTGTGTGTGTATGTGTGTGTATGTGTGTGCGCGTATAATGTTCACTTCGTTCGTCAGCTGAGAGCGAGAGTCCAATGTCGAAGTGTGCATAAATACAATTTCGAACGAGTGTGATCGCGATAATTTTGCGACTAACGCGTATAGTGATTTCTTATACTTTCGAGTGTCACGATGTCAATCGTATCCTGCAGCGATGGCGCGCGCACACGGCCACGATTTGTCGAGAGATCGCATATTTTTAGGTTACATGAAAATGCGAAGGTGCACGCCGTATTTGTAAATTAATCACGGAGCATGTTCAACGAATGTATTCATTTCGGAGTCATTAGAGTCGACTTTTCGGTGTGACACTGTGAATTTCCTTTGATAGTCAGATCTCCTCTTAAACAATGGGAGTATACGGCTTGTGGAGACTGTTGGACGCGTCCGGGAAACCGGTGGTGTTGGAGAGCCTCGAGGGCAAGGTCCTCGCGATTGGTGAGTAACGATAATCGCTATAATTGATCCTCATTTGTTAGCACTCCATGCACAATGCGTAACATAAATCTTTGCAGACATATCGATATGGATATACCAGGTGTTGCAAGGATATCAGACACAACACGGCACTCCCAAGCCCAATGCTCATCTACTTGGATTGTTCACCAGGATCTGCAAACTCTTGTACTACAGGGTCAAACCTGTCTTTGTCTTTGATGGCGGTGTGCCGATGCTTAAGAAGAATACAATTGTAAGGATGATCAATGCATACCTCTCAAGTAACAAGCAGTCAATAACTTTTTTCTAACTTGCATATTTGATGCAAGACAGACACGGTGTGGCATCATGCAGCTTCAAACGCTCCATGCATTTATACACAGGCGAAACTGTTCCTCTATCTTGATTATAATATTGTTCGTACATAATTAGCTCAGCGTGGGAACCAGGTAGTGAGAAAAGAGCCTCCTCATTCTTTTGTGTTTCACAGGCCTCACGCAGGAAGCAGAAATCTATTGCCACGAGTAAGGCGCAGAAGATGAAGGCAGATTTGATAAACAACTTGATAAAACATAGCGTGGTGAAAACCGTTCTCAATAAAGATTCCAAGGTGGATCAGAGTGATGGAGCGACGCAAATAACGATAAATTTGCAAACTAAACGCGCGGAGCCAGATATGTTCGCCTTGCCCGATCTACCTAGCACCAGCAGCGATCTGCAGACTTACGTCAGCGACGAGGAGTGCGATTCTGATGTGTCCGTGGAGCTGAGTCCGCGGAAGCAGTCTAAATGGATGGGAAATATACACAATGTTGATGTAACCACCAGCGAGTTTAAGGCATTGCCCGCGGACGTTCGTTATGACATATTGACTGACCTGCGGGAAACCAGGAAGCAAAATTCCTGGGGCCGTTTGCACGAGATGCCTGAAGTATGTGTGATAAGATTTACTTAAGGTACATATGCTACGAATTTGTAAATCGTATTTCATGAAAATCGTATGTGGTTGTAGGAGTCACAGGAGTTCTCAGGCTTTCAGATGAAACGTTTGCTAAAACGCAGATACGTGCAAGAGTCTTTGGAAACCGCCGAGAAGGAAATGGGCGGGAAAACGTTGACATTGGAGGAGTTGAATAAATTGTTAACCGAGCAAGGAGTCGACACGAGTGGCAGAGACGCAGCGTTTCGGATCGCCGCGGATGATACAACCAGATTAATCTACATCAGCGGTATGTATTAAACTTTCTGTCGTAGTAATTATTTCCTGATACACTGTGTATAATAAAAATGTTTATCGGTATTTTCTAAATTATCAAATATTCGATATGATAAAAAATTAGAATAGAAAAAATATAAATAGAAGACAAATGTAAGAATATTGACAAATAAATTTAGACAGGATATTTTTTCTCTCGACGTCGACATCTCCAATATGTAATAATTTTGTACTATTTTATAGATAAGAATGCATTAGTGAAAAGTTCCGTTGATAACGAAGCAGAGACGGACAAAAATGATTCGCCGCAGAATAAAAACGAAGAAATTGAACCAGTTGCCGGCCCAAGTAATCCCACGCCGATCGTAGAAAACATAAATGAATACGAGTTAAATGATGATTCCGATGATGACGTTGTACCAATTTATGATGATCCTCCACCTATCGTAGAAGATGTCAATGAATATACATTTGACAGCGACTGGGAGTCTGGAACAAACGAATATGACGTAAACGAGTCACAGCCTGTGGATAAAAAATACTTTGGCAAAAACATGAGGAATCCCGCGTTGACATACATGTTGGAGCACAGCGGCTTGACTCAGAATCAAATAATGCACCTTATTAATCATAACAACGACGAAAGTCATAAAGAAACAAGTAAGAATACGAAAACGCTCGAGAAGGATACTCGCTCAGATTTAGCAGAAAGTAAACATTCGACGGACAATAAACCGGTATCAGTTGTCGAAAATTGCGAGGATCGTTTGAAAGTCGTGGAATTGCAGGACACGCAAAACACATGCTTGGCCAAAGATAATTCGAAAATCATCGAGTTGATTCCGTCCAGTCCGGAGTCAGATAATTTTATCGAAGTTGAACCTTTCAAAGATAATGTTGAAACGTCGGAATTTACCGCGGCATCTCACGCCACAAACTCAAATAATGGAATAATACCTGAGAAGCATTCTGCTGCAAAGTCCGATGATGTAATGCAAGTAGATACGTCGGATTCCGGCTCCGATGATTTCATAGAAATCCACGACGTCCCGATACCTGACGTAGATATCTCACGAAGCAGCGGGAGGAGAGACAATATTGAAATAACTATCAAATCCGACGAAAAACTGGATAACGACATGTTTGCTGATATATTTGAAAAAACGGAAGATCGAAATGAAGTTATGTCGACAGATTGCACGAAACAGATTAAGTCCATCGATACGAACGATGAACATCAAATAGTATTAGTTCCCGAAGACAGAAATAATGTGAAAAAACTGAACACTATACCCGAAGAAGAACCGGTCATTAAGAAAACAAATATCGAATTTCCAGAGAATACTCAGTCAATTGAGAATGTATTGAACGATGAGAGTAAAGTGCACGATTCTCAGAATCCTGACAAAGTAATGGATCAAAATAATATGAATAGTGAAATTGATTTGTCCAATGAACGTGTACAAGAAAAGCCAGTAGTATTACCTACGAATGAGGAAGGTTGGGTAGAATTAAAGGTATACATAATTTTGTTTTTCTTTCTTTTTTTATACACAGCTTAGTGTTTCATTTTCATTACTTTTCATTGCTATAATTACGTTTTACCATTCATCTATTTGACATACACACACACACACACATATATATATAATATTGTATATACTACTCATCTATTTCTTCACACACACTCATATATATATACACGTGTGTCGTATATTTTTTTCTTAATTATAGGGTCAGTTAGAAGACGAGCAGGAGGAACTCACGAGGAACATTGGCAAATTTGAAAGGCAAGCCACCAATATTTCTGAGCAAGTTCAAATCGAGGCGCAGGTACATATTGTGATACAATAAAGAGCAATTTTTATAGAACTATAGCGTATTACGTTATGTTTATTTATAGGAATTGTTACGTTTATTTGGAATTCCTTATGTAGTGGCTCCTATGGAAGCGGAGGCGCAGTGCGCGTATCTGGAGCAAATTAAACTAACCAACGGCACAATTACGGATGACTCCGACATTTGGTTGTTTGGAGGTCAATGTGTGTACAAGAACTTCTTCAACAATAGCAAAAGGGTACAGCAATTCCATGCCTGTGATATCCAGCATCATTTTAGTATGTATAATTAGATGTATTGATGCTAATTTTAAATGTTTATTTTATATATATACATATATAAATATAATTATTAAAAATCAAATGTCACAAAACTTTTATATATATATAATATCGTTATTACAGAACTTACGCGCAATCAGATGATACAATTAGCTCTCCTGGTTGGCAGTGATTACACTACAGGAGTGGCTGGCATCGGACCTGTCACCGCGCTAGAAATATTAGCCGCGTTTCCCGCGGAAGGGGACAACGTACTGCATGGGTTACATAATTTCTGCTCGTGGATAAAAAAGGGAAGGATTGCGGCTCCTGGGAAAACAGGGTTACGCAATAAATTGCGAAACGTGAAATTGGACAAAGGTGAGCGATGGTCACGTCTAACGCAACTGATAAGGGCGAACAACGAAAGAATAAGTAATAGCGTAATGTGACCGATTTCAGATTTCCCAAGTCAAGCGGTCGTTCAAGCGTATCTTTTTCCCACGATCGATGAGTCAAAGGAAACTTTTACCTGGGGCAAACCGAACGCGGTGCTTCTTTGTGATTACACTCGACAGAAATTCGGGTGGACAAAGGGCAAATTCGATGACACGATGATACCGGTATTGAGGAGAATGGAGGAAAGAAAAAGTCAAAAAATATTAGATTTATATTTCAAAGCGATGATATCTCCAAAGTCTATTGAACCGAATCTAAGTAAAAGAGTTCAAAAGGCTCTGCATAGGTTGAATAGCGAAGGCAATGCAGGTGAAAAAGATTCGGATGGCGAGACGCAAATTAAGAAAAATAAGAAAAGCAATACCGGTCGGAAACCAAAGAGAAAAGAGAAGACACCCGATGTACCAGCTTGCGAGTCTGAAGCACCTATCGAAGCAGACTATACTCTTGATACGTCTGCTACACCCGTTGTTCACGATAGAAATACGAAAGAATATATACCACAACGAGAGAAAGACAAAGCATCCGCATTGCAAAATAAATTGCACGCTATAGAAATATATAGAAGGTCGAAACGAGGCTTAGTCAAAACAAAAAAAGTAAAACGTACAATAAGGAAAGTCAAAAAGGAAGCAGAGTTGTCAGAAAGCGATAGCAATTAGATTTGAATAATTGAACCTAAAATAAAAATAGAAATTTCACATAATATTCGCTATAAATTTTTATCGATAACTTGCTAGCCTCAACAGACAATAAAATCTGTGAATAAAATACAATGGCAGAAACGCGAAGGAAATCTATCTTTTCAGGATATGTGCTAAATCAGAGATAACTATGGATATATTACTGCATTTTGATCGAGTATGATGCCTATATGAGAGCATACTGCTAACATCTTGTTTATAGAGCCTATTGTAAGAAATGTATATTTTTATATCATAAGATAACTTGTACAAAATTGTTTGCAAATACAAAAATTGTCTGTAATACAAAAAAGATTTTGTATTAAATCATGTGTATCAAAAATTAAAGTCTAGTTTTTATTGTCATTATGAAAATATAAAGCATTATTTTATCCAAGAGAGAAAGATATCTCAGAAAACACATGAAGATATTCTACTTCTTGTAGCATCTCTACATGTAAAGATGTCTGCAGATATTTCCATGAATCTTGGAAACCAAGAAATACAACGTAAACTTTGCAGAAAAAAATTAGTATTTCAAAGTACAAAGTATTCAACTCATAAAAATAATATACTAATAATAGTAACTAGGTATCATGAGGATATGAGAAGCTCCAGCAGAAATGATCTCCGAGGGGAAAAAAATTACACAACTATTTATCCGTTACAGAGTTTATTTTTTCCCTTTTTATTTCCATAAACGAAAATTATGAAAATTACTTCTTAACCTTCTTATCCTTAGCAACTTTAGTTAGGTCATCCGGATTATCTGCGGCATCCTTAACTCGTTTCGCACGAATACCTACTAGTCTCGCATCTGCTCTTGCTTTCCGGAGGGTCACGTATGCTGAGAACTTAGCTTCGTCCTCAGTTACAGACCGTGCTTTCGCTTTAGCAGGTGCCTGATGCCGTATTGGCATCGGGTCTCCTTTCATTTGAGTTGCCAACTTCATCTCTTCCTCAGTTGCGCAACCCTTCTGTGGCTAAAATTTTAAAGTGATAATTTATCAACATGTACGAAGACATACCTTTCTTTCATAGAAAATTAAGTTATCCCAAAATCAGAATACTATTCTGAGTATGATAGTCGCAGATGCATTGAAAAAGGTTTTTTATAGTAGTATTATCGTACCTTCTTTTCATTCGTCGGGAAGAGTATCAGCTTGGCTTTGTATTCTTTCAAACGTTGTGCATTCGTTTGCAAAGACTCAATGGATTTGTTGCGACGACGCGGGTCCACCGCGATGCCGATCGTTCGGGCAAATCTCTTATTCAAACCGCTGGCTTTCAGCTCAGCTAATGTGAATCCTTTACCAGCACGAACTTTAGTGTGATAGCGGAATGTTGGACAATGCACCACAGGTCTCAGAAGATTTACCGGTCTAAAAAATATTTAACTAAATAGGGATATAGAAATTTTATATGTACAATACACATGCACAGTTGTATAAAAGGAAATAGGAATAGGACATATTGTAATAAATTGTGATATACTGTCATATTGTGATTGGAAGATTATGATTTTAATAGGTTGTAAGATTTAAAAGGAAAAGTTTTGTCTTTTACGTAGCTATTAGAATAAGGAGGTATGAGTAAATGAGTGTGGATAAAATACATATGTAAACAAGCCTTCCTTCTTGACTATATAACTGAAGTAAATATATATATATATATATATTTACTTATATATATATATATATATATATATATATATATATATATATATATATATATACATGCACAATTTTAAATATGTACATTATGACCACACATGTGGGTTAACTTAAATTATACACAGGCTCTGACACAAGCATACAAAATTATATATGAAGGTAAAATACATTTATAGCTCTATCTTCACACGTGATTTTGTATGCCTTGCGTATTATCAAACCTGACATCTTGTATATACAATAGATAGTTCTGTTGAAATAAACAAATCAACTATAAGAGAGTACATACTTGAAATAGTAAAACTATTTCAAGTATGTACATACCTAGGAGCAAGGGCTCTTGCTTTTTTAACACGAGTTTGCTTGCGTCGTATCTTTCTAGCTGGTTGATTAAACCAGGTTTTTACAAATCGTTGCCAATCCTTATGGAAATGACCATTTGGGATCATATTATTGCGCTTTCCCATGGTTGATGGTTAATATCTGCAAATATCAACGACACAATAATGTGCTCAGAGCGAGTGCACATTTGAATTTTACATAATGAATTATTACAAATTTATAAATCTGCTGTCAGAATAGTAATTTATTTATACATGATTAAAGGTAAGTATGGACATAAGATCCATCTCCTCAGAAGTTAACAATACTGACATTTATAGTCAAGAATATAATCTTAACCTCTTTGATGATGTGCAATTCAAATATAAGCTAAAAATAATTATTTTATTACAAAAATCACATACATATCGATCCAAATTGATCGAAGATATAATAATTTATAACTTTTGTTTATTGTTACACTTCTAATAAGTACACGATAGTAAAAATTTACGCTGATACGAATTTCTAACACAACACTCACCACTCACTTGCACGAGACCAAGCGGAAAAGAACGTGGAGAAGCAGTAACGTGATTTTGAGCGCACACTAGCGTTTTACACCCCTCCTGCTCTCGTCACTTACGCACACAGAGACACTCTGTCTATTCGTGTGACGACGCGTGTCGCGGTACTTGCTTCTCTCTAGTGGGTTCGCCTGGCGCCATCTAATTTTAAAGCATCGAGATCATACAGTCGATTTTTGAGCAGAAACGACAATCGAACGTCGACTCATCGACAGTTGATTATCGGACGTTCCCATTGGTGGTGCCAGAATTCGTGCCGGGAATATCGGAGAGCGCGTTTGAGGTGGATCAAAACAAGCGATGCTCGAGCTGAGCAAGAACTCGCTTCCCTTCGTTGGCCACCGCTTCGTCGAAAAAGAAAGCGAGAAAGAAACGCGTGAGTTGTCGCCTCCGTCGTTCTCTAGTCGTCTATTCCAAGAGGCCAGCTATAATTGTCGTGACGCGGTCCACCGCGGCGTCTCTTCCTCCTCCTCCTCCTCCTTCTCCTACTATCTCGGTCAGGCGGGATTTCAATCCAAGAAAACAATGTAGGCTACCCGCCGCGGCATCCCTGTCATCCCTCGATTGTGCCGTCGGGGATGTCGACACGGCCGTCTGCGGCTGTCATCGTCGACGACTACGAGCAGCGCAGTCATACAGACGCAAGCGTGAACAGTCGTGGGAGATGTCTTACAGCGATGGCGCGCGTCCGACACGAAAATTCGGCACAAAGTCGCCGAAGAAGCTGTGCGTGACTAAGAGCGAGAACGGCGACAAGACTACGACGACAGTCAACTGCAGCGGCCATCACCACCACAATCATTTCCATCACAACCATCATCGCTTTCTGGACGGCTCGCAGCCGTCAGTGCACAAGCGCAATCTCTACCTCGTCTCCTTTCCGTTGATATTGCTGTTCAACGTGCTGAGGACTCTACTGTATCAGCTGTTCATGGTGTTCAGGTACATTTACACCTCTACATCCCAGCTGATCCAACGTAGACAGGCGTCCAAGCAGGCCTGTCAACTAGAGATCGTTGTTGGTCAAAAGTCAACGGATGCTCTGTCCAATCGTTTGATCAACGGCAATCAGATAGAAGGAGAAGTCATGTCTCAGGTGCCTAGGCGTCCCATTGGTCCAGGTCCTGCAGATCCTTTGCTCGCCAAGCAGAAGCATCATCATCGCAGAGCATTTGAGTTTATCAGCAAGGCACTGAAGATTGATGAAGATAATGAAGGTAGGGTGAAATGCTCAATTATTGGCATTTCCTTTGTCATTAGCACTCTTGAGAAAAAACCTGCTTTTCCTAATAATCAGCATCTGCAGTTGAACTTTTGATCTATAGTCATTAATTCCAAAAAAGAATTCACATCTAAAACAATGAACAACCATCACTGGTTGCAAGGAAAAGCAGATTTTTCTAGAGTATCAAATGAGTAAGGAGGATCAATCATGATGTGTCAATAATTGAATGTTTTACTCTATATTGTTCAAGTATATTGCATGAACACAGACTGAGTCATCTAATGTTATTCTAAGATATCTCTGGTGTTTTTTTTACATTAGAAGAAAATGTATAAGGAATAAATTATGTGGTGGTTAGAAGGATTGTTGGCTGATCATAATATTTATCCTTTTCAACTATATAATTTTTTCTTTACACATTTTCTTCTAATATAAAAACAGTAGAAATATTGTAGGACCTAATATTGAGATGGTGATTCATCTCGTATACAATTGGCAGGAAATGCTAATTTAATACCTCTTGTCAGAGTTGTGTCATAGGTTTCAATTATGTCTATGTGAATTGTTTATGTATTGTCTATGTGATGCTGTTTCCTATGTAGATAAAATAAAATATTATGAATTATACTAAAATATACAAAAAATAATGATTGAATTATGTGATATATTGATAGATTTAAGTCTGACTATAAGTCCTGATCTACAATAGATGTAGTAAGCTTTAAACCGTAAGAAATTAACCAATTACAATTGATTATTCCTCTATAATTCCACTGTGATTGGTCAATTTCTTAAGGCTTAAAGCTTACTACACCTATTGTAGATCGGGATTAAGAATATAACCAAAGAATTCTGTGGACTCCAACTTATTTAAGAAACAGATTGTATAATACAGAACTATATTCATAATTCAAACTATAAGAACTATATTCATCATTTATATAGATAATGAGTAATATATGGATCTTATTTAAAGAACATATGTGTGGCTTGCTCAAGATTGATAAAAATTTATATTTCTATTTAAAAGTTTATATTTTAATTTATTTTTACTTAACTTTTCCTCTGATAGAATCCTCTGATATAAATTTATAATTGTTTTTCTAAACAAGTTAAAATCCACAGAATTCTTACTTTCAAAGTTAAATCTACTAATCTATCACATTATGAAATAAAAATTTTATGCAATTATCTTTTATAAGCATTACATTTTTCTAAATAATATCTAAAACAGATTTGGTAACTGCATCATAATTTAATTACACATATTCTTCCATATATTTTAATATATTTTACAATATTTTGTGTAGTATTTACTTTGTCTACATAACAAAATCTATGTAGTCTATACATAAACGTCCGTATAGATCTAGAAATCCATGCCACAATCCTATTCTAAAGAGATACAATAAAAATATAGATTTTTCTTAACGCTTAAGCAAGCCATACATTCTCTAAACGACACTCATATAATGACATACATTATTCATTGTCTACATAAATGACATCTTATATATAGTTTCACATTGTTCACACGTGTACATAAAGTATCGTAATTTACGTCCAACTTTGCTTCTTGCAGTCCTATCGTGCTTTCTTTCTTTGTTTTTAATCGGTTTTACGTCTCTCACAACAGGACAAAAGGAAATGGCCATCGAATTGTATAAAAAAGGAATCGGAGAACTGGAGAAGGGAATAGCTATAGAGTGCAGCGGTGGGCACGGTGAAGTATGGGAGCACGCTCAGAGACTTCACGACAAGATGCGTACGAATTTGATAATGGCGAAAGAGAGGCTCGAATATCTTGGTGAGTGTGTCACGGCTATTACGTCCGTTTGGCGTATAGAATTTCTCAAGCTATTCCAAGCTTATTTACCTAAGATACAAGTCTCCATTATTCATAAATATAATAAAGTGATAAGTATGGGGTACCTTCATAGTTTGTACACCATATATGCATAATATAAGACAGTGTCCACAGGTAAATACCTGGCAATGGCGAGAGAAAGAATATCGATGTTCAGCATGTTCCTGTGCGATTTGTTTTTATTCTTCCAAGTATATTAAGTATATACGCGCGTGTACGTATGTGTGTACGCATGCCCGCGTTATAATTTCCTAGGTAGTTTTTACCTGGAGCACAAATCAATTTCTGTTTTGCATTCTGTTCCTTTCTCCATTTCATAAAAATTCCGAGATGTTCGGCATAACGCGAATTACATACGTAAGAATTGGCAGCCCAATCTCATACGCAGCATATTACGAGAGCGATCGAAATGCGCATTCGCGAGCCGGTGAAACTCTCTTAGCGATATTAGTGCCGTTAGTACGAAACGGGAGCCTCACAAAGTACAAAATATTAGCCTGATTTTCTCTTTTAGCTGACTTAGCCTACTGCAGCATGGCAGAGAATGTTTTTTCCTTTTTGTAGTGAGTGTGTGTGAGCTGAGAAAGCTGGGTATCAACAGTGAATATCGCGCGCCTGGAAATAAAACGGACGGCGAACATCCAGGAAAGCATCTGAGGGCTCGCCGCAATATACACACTTTTCAAACTTCAACACGCACCAACACACCCAACACTAATCACAATAAGAACACGAACAATACACATACAGTTAACACCGGGCAGACAATATGTACGCAAATTCCCAAGTTAAGGCCACGTTCTCCAAAAAACTGTTGCGCTCACACCACCGAAGGTATTGTTCGTCTGAGATTCTGGGCTTAAATGCAAAAGAGTCGAACGCAAGTAAAACAGTGCAATGCTCCTTAGTCGTTACCTATTCGGAGGAGATTACTTAGGAGGTTTTATCTTAGCCCTGTGCACATCGCTCGGTTGTTAACGTAGAGGTAGATTCATGTAGGCTCGCCAACGATGTATTTCATTGTAGCTGCTTCTTTTTTCGTGTTACTGTAGATCCTTAGAAGCTTGTCGCATTTATACGCAACTGAACCTTACGTTGTAACGCTTTACGAGTAGATTTCAAAGAGACGTATCATTTACCAACAACAAGTATAAAATTGTTCAAACGTGTACATGCAAACACACTCGCAACCGTATCCAATATACTTACAAGTTTATTACAGTACAAGTAGTAGAAAGTATTTTACTTTAATACACAAATTCATACACAAGTAAAGATCTTTTTTTTCTACGTGACAGATTAGAGTGTATCCTTTTAACAAAAGCTTTTTCCTTGTAATAAGAAAAACCAACGTTTACAACACATTCCTACTGTTTAATAGCGACATTCTATGACATACAGATAATAGTGTTTTAAATATCTTGGCTGTACAAACATCTCTTTCTTACTTTCGTCTTCTTTGCGATAGACCCTTTTATCCATTAGACTGATATAAAAGACTTGCATCTAACAGTATCGACCAGTAGCGATTTGTACACCTCGTCGAATTGCACTTGTCGTTACTTGAGCTTTATTGAAGTACGAACGTTGCGTTTCAGCGTCCGGCAGGAAACTGTCGGTGCCAGGCAAACGACCGACAGGAACACCTTTGAGCAAAAGTCAGACGTTGCCTCGAAACATGGGCAGATCAACACCTATCCAGCCTTGCCACAGGACCATGCCGATCAAACCGTCCTCTACGCCCCCCTCCGTGAAGAGACAGTTATCCGTGCCTGGGAATAATGGCTCGCCTATAAGACGTCCAGGAACACCCACTACTTCGAGTAGTAATAGAAGCACTCCAACTAGGAAGGTGCCTATTCTGAAGGGAGTAGATCCGAAACTCGCACAAGTTATTCTCGACGAGATCCTGGAAGGTGGTGCGCCGGTGCAGTGGGAAGACATCGCTGGCCAAGAAGTATGTACCGTCGTACTCCCAATCATCTTTGATTAAATCATCGCTAAATCATTAAGGAGAAATTTCAGTTCAGCCGAAAAAGTCGGATGTTTTTATGACTTTGTTTCACAGAAATGAGTAAAAATATCAATATAAAGTTCTGTTTATACTATTCATCATTATTTTAAGTATTAAAAAAATTATTTTTTTATTTGAAAAAATAGAAATTTCGTCGTTCAAGTATTTTGTACTGAGCTCAATGTCGCCTTTAACTGATGGACAATATCATAGCTCATGTAATAATCTGAAACAAATGTGGAACCAGAAAATTTAAAAACTATTAAATTTGTTAGGGAATAAATTGTGTGTTATATATAGAAGATTGAGTGACGCTACTTCAAAATTATAAATGATTTTTCTTCTCTCTTTCTTTGTTATTTAGTGTCCCTGCAAAAATACTAATTTTGGAAATATTTTCAGAAATTTAGGTTCAACTTTCAAGAAATTGAAAACAGTTTACAAATTTTTTGTGCCATTAATTTCAGATTATTATACGAGCTGTAATGTTGTCCGCCACTAAGAAGCGTCCGGCGATACCGCGTTTAGTACAAAAAACCTAGATGGAATTTCAATCTTTTTTTTTTAATAGTTTTGTTTATATTTAAAACAACAATAAATAGTATGTTCGAATCTCTGTATTGATATTTTTATTCGTTTCTTTGAAAAGAATTCGTAAAAATCTTTTATTTTTCAGCTATCTAAACTAGAACTTTCCCTTTAATCGTTATTTTGATTAGATTGTAGAAGATATATGTATTTCTATTAATTGCTCGATAACTTGCAGACCGCGAAGCAAGCCTTGCAAGAGATGGTGATCCTACCGTCGCTTCGGCCCGAATTGTTCACCGGTCTACGAGCACCTGCGAGGGGATTGTTACTGTTCGGGCCACCGGGAAATGGGAAGACACTGTTAGCGCGCGCCGTAGCGACTCAGTGTAACGCGACGTTTTTCTCAATCTCCGCCGCCAGTCTCACGTCCAAATACGTCGGAGAGGGTGAGAAATTGGTGAGAGCTCTGTTCGCAATCGCACGGGAATTACAGCCATCTGTTATCTTCATCGACGAGGTAGACTCGTTGTTGAGCGAGCGAAAGGATAACGAACACGAAGCTTCAAGGTATGTTTTAAATATGCTCCGTTTATTTCTTGCACATCGCATTAATGTATTAAGAAGACGTATTGATCATCGTGTACTGTATCATGTATTATATCGTGTAGGCGATTGAAAACGGAGTTTCTAGTCGAGTTTGACGGCTTGCCGTGCAATCCTGAGGAGAGGGTACTCGTTATGGCCGCTACAAATAGGCCGCAAGAGCTCGACGAAGCTGCGCTAAGACGATTCACGAAACGCGTATACGTCACTCTACCAGACCAGCAAACGAGGATTGTATTGCTCCAAAGGCTTTTGGCCAAACACAATGATCCTTTAACATCTGAAGAACTAAATGAGATGGCAGTCATGACAGAGGGATATTCCGGAAGCGATTTGACTGCATTGGCTAAGGATGCAGCACTTGGGCCTATCAGAGGTAACTTTGAATCGATCTTACAAGCTTTTTTCCATGTATTCGCTCTTTTAGATTCGCATTATGAGTGAAAATATGCGTTTGGTCACTCATTCTCGAGTATCTTATAGTGTGTAAAGATAGGAACGCGCGCGCGCGCAGTTTTATCGTTATTTTTAGATTACGTTTACAGATCCTATTTGTATAGTTTTATTGTAAAATATGCTATCGCATTGTTTCCTCAGAATTGAATCCAGATCAGGTGAAAGAATTGGACCTCAATTCCGTTCGTAATATCACCATGCAAGACTTCCGTGATTCCCTAAAGAGAATTCGCAGATCCGTTTCGCCGGCTAGTTTAGCTGCCTATGAGAAATGGAGCTTTGAGTACGGAGATGTCAGTCTTTGATTGCAAATAAGTCGCTCGCACGAGAGGCTGGATCAGTCACGTTTTACTTGAATGTGATCCGTCGATACTCCGCCGAATATTAACGCGACAGTAACTTTCGCATTTTTATTCTTATAAACGATATTTGTGCTTGATAAGAAAGAGTGATTACAAGGACAAAGAGAAGCTATATTCTTCAATCTCTAATACAACAAGAATTCAGTAACACCGACTCCTAATCTTGTCGCATATTTAGTATGTTAAAGCTCCGCCTGATTCTCCATTTCGACGAATGCAATTTGGATTCAGGCTGTAATATTTAATACCGAATGAAATACCGATTTCGAAATTGCAATTCATTGATTTTACCAAATATAATACTCCACGCTCCATCCAGTGATCGAATATTCGCATTCGCAGTTCAACACGTAGCTTTAATCGTTACCGTTTTCGATATTTATGCTTGACCGTATTATTTATATATTATTCTCTTACGATTGAGTTCCTTTGTATGATAGAGAGAGGAGCTAGTGTGCGCGGGACTCACGATACGCTCGCATTATGATAAGTTGCACTTAGTGTCAGAATGTTAGTTATGTGTTAACAGTTAAATGTTAAGCATTTAAAGCTATAATCTTACTGCGTAAGATTCGACAGACTACGTATGTAATTAATCGAGCACACAGTCTGCAGTCGTGGAATGCGTCTTCATACAATTCGACTATTGTTATTTATAAAGTTGACACACGAGCAAGTTACTACACCGTGAGGCACGATCCGTGATACATTATTACAACAGTAGAAAGACTGCATTCGCAATCGAAACAGCGCACGTCCAATCAGATAATAAAAAGTAATATCTATCGATGACGTATGTAACGAAAAGACACTATAGTTATTTATACACAGAGAAGAGATGTACTGAAGCGTCGTAGGACGTATTAGAACTTACAAATTAGGAAATGCAAAATCTCGCGCGAATAGTTAATATCGTCTCACGCGCATCGATCTTGTATAAATCACACTAATAGATGTACTTCCTAAAGTGTTGCGAATGTTATCTTGTTACGTTTGATACTGATTCAGAGATTCGTTTGACGTTTGTTGATACCGCATACCGATGCGTTTAGGAGTCACGCGGCAACCATGATGCATGCTTGTGTAAAAAATAAAAAAAAAGATGGGAGGAAATGGAAGGGAAATCTGAAATTCCGTTTTGATACAAAATTCTATAAGACAACGAACTGAGAGAATATAAGCTGTGCTATATGAAATCCTACGTATATATCTGTAAGCATTATTTATAAGCTCGGGGCGATATTGTTATATACAAGAGATGAAAGAAATCTTTTATATATGTGTATATATATACACATATATATAAGTATGATGAGACACGAAGAACACGTTTTTATGACACTTGTCTATTGCTTCCAATGCTCAAAAAGTAGGGTAATTATGCTTGTATAATGTACTTATTGAATTAACGTTTTAACTCGGGACTGTAGATCACGTAGATTGATGCACTGCAATTATAACATGACGCTAATCCGTTCGCGATTCGCCCCAAAGTACCACGCAGATAGGAAAAAATCATTGCAGTCGCATATAGAATAAGGTCTGCCGCGGGAACTATGTTGGAGATAATTATTTTCTGGGGGCGTTTCATGTCCTCAATGAGTTTTATTTGCATTTGAATGCTCCCTCCACGCAGTAGGAGTAGATAAAGTGCTGTTTATAGATGAAATTGTAGTTATTAAATAATAAGTCTGTATATGAATAGAGCATGTGTGTGTATGTGTATATGTATATATATATACACACACACACATGTGTGTGTGACATAGTGTATATATATATGTATGAGATATACATACATATATACACACACACACGCAATGTATTCTCATTAAGTAAGCATTTCATGTGATAGATATAAGAGTTGTACTACGACATGGAGGAAAACGTAAAAACAGCAATTCCAACGTTGCTTGCTTTTGTGACACCGCACATGGATGTGTGACATTTCGAGATCAACACTGTTGTCACACATTACAGGTAAAATCGTATAATGCTAAACAGCATTTTTTAAGAGCTGTGATGTTATCGCGACGACGAACTTAATATCTTGCATGTTCAGCTTCTATTTACGGCACTGAAAATTTTACGTAAAAGAATATGATATGCACTAAAAAAATATGATATGCAAATATTATATTTCACAAATTATAATTCTGGGTCTTTCTAGATATTGCGACTTTGTTGAAATATGGCATTGTTGATTCTTTCCTCAAGTGATATGTAGCGCTGTGACATTGATCTGTTTCCATTTCGCAAACGGAGTTTCGGCATCATGATGTTGACTGAAAGAAGCTTTAGTTCCAAATTACTTTGTGTGTTCCGTTGAATAATTGTCGCACTGCCTGTGTTAAGAGGATGCTGAAGCGGAGAACTCTGCCTACAGAATACTGACATTTTTCTGCAAAGTTTATGTCGTCGTATTGGTTGTACAGAATTATATGCTTTTGCGCAATGAAAATACGTGCAAAAAATAAATAGAAACACTACTCAACATGTGACGAAAACGAGACAAAAATTTTAGATGTAAAATCTCAAACTGTCAGCGTAAAATTTGCCTAAAGTTATATTTAAAATATAATATTGCCAAAAATTCCGTAACTTGTACATTCGTGACTAAAAAGGTTGTCTAGTTTTTTTTCTTTATAAGTTTCAGAATTCATCCGTCTTATCAAGTGAGAGAATTTATTTTTCAATAAAAGAGTTTTCTCATTGGATAAATTATCGTGAAACTTGCAAAAAAAAAAACCAGGCAATCTTTCCGACCAAAAAGTTTACAAAAAGATTTTTACAAATGTGGTTAGGTTTTCCGCTAAATATAGTTAAACAAAGCAACACACATTTACGTAAGTTCTGTATATACAAGAAATACGAAAAGGATAGCGACATCATCTCTACGTTATGAATATTTTCGGAATTCGTTATCCACTTCAGCATCCCTTTAAGTATTACGTGATTGTATCATGTAGTGTGTTACGTTAACGTTATGTGTTATAGAATTTAAATTATATTAATTGTATTAATTCGTAAAGTTGACGATGATTTCTTGCACAAATCTTTTCGTACATGAGGATGGATCATTTGAAGACCCTGGCCTTCCACTGTGAAACATGCTGAGCCTTGATTAAGTTATTTTGCTACTTTTATAATATAATGATAAATTGAGTAAGAGTAACGATCGGGTATAATGTTTATGCTAATGACAATTACTGCTATTTAATCTAATGGTAAATACAACGCGAGTTGCAAGCCGAAAAAACTATTTACGCATGTTGGTGCACGCGAGAGTGGTTTTCCCTTTTAAATATTACCTCACCATTAGTCTCTCACACACAATTATGTATTGAATCGTTGTCAGTGTTTGTAACTCGACAACTTGGAAGGTTTACAATGTTATTTGATATTGCGGTTGTATTTTCTTGCGACAACTTTAGATTAAATTATTCAATCGTAAAACTTATAGTTTGTAACAGAAAAGTGATCAGTCCTCGTTAATTGTGCCGCGTATATTCAGCTGTGGACTTTTATTGTAACGCGTTCGGCAAAAAGGAGTATGACCCGTATAATCCAGCAGTATTATAGAGTATTTTTGGTAGACTACGTTGTAAATTACACGCTAGATCGCCAATACAAATCTTAAGCTAACGTTTCTCAGTAACACGTATAGTCAGTTGCAAAACAGTTCAGACACAACGAAGTCGGGGAACAAATTATCAAAATTAAGAGGCATTGCTGACGAGCTTACTGAGTAATAATACAATTAATAATAATAAATTATTATTATTAATATAATATGCACAATCGTCAGAAGTGACTTAATTTTTATAGTTTAGTCAAATCCCAATCCCATTGTGTCTCAATCGTTTTTCAACTTGTACACTACACCGTTCATGAGTTCGTGAATATTGGCGATTGAATAACATGAAGGCCCGCATGAAGGTCAAAGCGTTATATAAATAAAAATACAAATACCCGGACACGTACTTAGTCCCGGGCATTCTTATTGTTTTCGTCTTTAAATGCGAATATTTAAATTTTCAGTATGACATATATGTATATTATGCATTATAAGTTTAAATATTCGTGTATTTAAAGACCAAAATATGTATATATTATAAATTTAAATATTCGTATATTTAAAGACCAAAGCAATGAGAATAGTCAGGATTAGATACGCACCGGGGAATTGGTACTTTTAACTCACATCGTTTTTTTCCAAATATTATCACAAATATTACCTCAGAAGCGAACATCGAGTCACTTTGTAGTGTTTAGTATCTCTCGCTATTTGCTTCTCGAATTATCGGCACATTCACGGACTCACGCGAACGATGGCGTATTCTTTGTACTACACTTTTAGTCCATACGTCCAACAGAATATAATTACGATATCTATTTGATAGACGTTCACCGAAACGATCGGATTTAGGCCGTTAATGTATCGCGTAGCGAATGTACAGAATTGTACAGCACTCTGTCGATATTTTGTCAACGTGATTGGTGATTGAATCGAAGAATGTGTCTACGAGATGTGTGTGTATATATAGTACAAATATTACTCCGTTTTCCAAATATTATTACGCTTTTCCCGTCGCGAGAGGAGGCCGAGATTATTTTCCAAGAACTATCGATATTTCGTTACGTTGAGCCACTTTTGATCCGTTGAGAAGAGGCGTTTCTCAGTTGTACAAACATATCCGACTTCACCGCGAGAATATGTAGCGTTTTAGTTTTGCATTCTCGGACTTCCTTCGTTTGATAGACCGGCATTGTCGCGCAAATATCAACAGACGATCGTAAACCTTGGCTAATTAGAAATACGAGTGTTATCTTCTTCACACGTGGATCGTCGCGCAAACGTTGAGATGTTCGCGAGTGATTTTTCGAGAATGTCTTTCCAATTGATACGAACGGTCGCTGTAAGAGTATATTGGATGCAAAATAAAACCGTATTACATGTATCCGCACGCTGTTAATTTTTACACCTCGCACGCTGCCGAAAAGAAGATCGCGCATAGATCTTCACTTACGCGATACAGAAATATATCATTCTGCTACTAAGAAAATTCCTCAGTTTACTTTTCTTCTTCCAAGTAATGTTTATCTTCAGCAAGGAGTAATTTCCTCATAATAGTCTTGAAGCATACTCGACACCGATTTAGGAAAAAACCTGTTATCATATATTCAAAAGAAACAAAAATATTATAAAACTTTGTCGACTCTATGTAGTAAGTAAACCTAACTTTCGGCTTAATTTAATATTCTTGATTGAAATGTGCAGAACTTACGAGGATTTAGAATATATTTTGAAGAAATTGATGCTTATAATGAATTCATGATAGATTTGCGGATATAAACTCGTGAAATACTTGAAACATACTTGAAGTAATATTTACTTGAATGTAATGTTTTTGTGTACAGAAAAATATCATTCTACTACTAAAAAAATTTCTAACTGATCTTTTCTTACTAAGAAAATTCCTTATTCAGTTTACTTTTCTTCTTTCGAGTAATGATTATTTCTGATAAAGAATATTTTTATAATGATAGTCTTAAAAATATATTCATAAATTTAAGGAAAAAGTTTGTTATCATATATACTTAAAAGAATTTATTCTTCTTACAAAAATATTATAAAATTTTATCGAAAAGAAGATTAGTTCTCTCGATGTAGTAAGTAAGTAAGTCGAATTTTTATTTTAATTTAACATTCTGGTTTGAAATGCTAACATATTCAAAATATATGTTAAACGATATGATGCTCATAATGAACTTGTGATAATTTGCAGATATATAAATTCATGAAATACTTGAAACCGGTAACGCGTGCTCGAGCGTAGTATGCACTTTCTGTGTGCAGAGCTGCGTATCGACAGCGCTAATGCAAGTCCATCTTTTTATAATAACTACGACGAGGTAAATCGATGGACGCCTCATTTGAATGAGAACGAGTCGTTGCGTATTGGGAGGAGAGAGGGGGGTGCATCGTCGCGATGAAACGAAGGCTCTCACGAAATAATGCAAGATACTGTGTATTTTAAATATTTATTCCTTTTTTTTCATTCAAAGGACAATTTGTTTTCTTTTTTTTTATTATAAGATAACATTACCCTAAGCATCTTCGAGGGTTTGCACCCCGCTGTACCTAAATTACTTTTTATATAACATTTTTTTCATCTTCCGTTTTCACCGTTTTTCGTTCTCTACTGCAGACAAGTACCTCCTTCCCCCAAATTAGTTCTCTCTCTCTCTCTTTTTTTTCTCTTTCTTACTTTTTCGTAGCTCGATATCACTTATCGCAGTCAATTGTATATCGTTACTATATTCAACTTTTATTTCGTTTCTCCGTCTGCTCGTCTCGCCCCGTGTTGACTTTATACAAATTGATTTTGACAGTTTTATGGCATTTTACCGTCGGTGGTGAACTGAAAAGGTGTGATAAGCATTCTGGCGCGTCGAACGTCATCGGAACTGATCCACTTCGATCCATTTCTTGTTTCACGAACTTTTGCGATACAAAACGAAACGGAGGTGCCCCGTGAACAGCACACCTGTCGTTTTATCGTAACAGAAGACAGGTGCCCCGAGCTCCATACGAAATGAACGCAACGAATGCAACGTAATTACGCGCTCCAATGAAATTTCGGTAAAACAGAAGTTGCCTCGCGAAGAATGATTGTATGGTTTTCTTTTTCCTGTGTGGAGGGGAAGGGGGGGGGGGGCTCGCGTGTCCAGGCATTAGAAGTTGCCGGTAAATCTACGATATTGCCTTACGCACACACTCTGATAATTTCCCGACGCGAGTGCGTGTGACTGCAAATAACAAATGCCGAGTGGATGCCCGAAACGCCATCCACTCGGCAGATGAATTCGCTTCGCGACACACTTTACATATTTGTTGTCCGAAGAACGCGACTTTCGATGTACGCGAAGTATTCCTATACCGATATCAGTACGTGTCTTTGGCCTAATCACCCGAGCCCCGGCGACCGGGATGGGGATGCCGAAGAGAATAGAAGCAACTATGACGAGTTATGCTGCGAACTTCCGTTACACATTAACTTGGAAGACACGAAGGAATTGAATCGTGCCATGCCGAGCGACTACGACAATCCGTAGGAAACACGTGTAGGTATTACATCATGGCTGATTGTCAATCGATTAATCGTTCTCGCGCTGTATTGTAAGAACAGGGATATCGGTCACCAGCCGGCCTCTGCGTGTACTTAAACAATTATGTATGACGTATATATGCGCAGGAATACACATTATCTTCTTCGAATTTTCTTCCTCTCGACGCATTCAAATATTCACGCTCGCGTCCGAAGACCCGAGACTGGAGATAGATCGGTGACTTCCCGTCCGCTGAAGGATACCCCGATGGAAGTATATGCAATGATGTGTTTATTGTTACTGCTTTTTATCATGTAGACTTAAATTACAATTATTTATTACACTTCACTGGTTGGCTAGGTCGTCTATACAGACACCGGGAAGTCACTGATATATATATATGATGTATATATATATCACTGATGTATATTATATTATACATATACATATACATATACATATATATATTGTTTGCCGCACGTTACAACATAGTTTATCAACTGCGATACCCGAACACCGATCCCCGTTGTACTTTCCGGTGCGTCCATCACCACTTTGTCGACACTTTCGATCCTTAGGTGTTTTCTTTTTCACGTTTAATATCGCGACAATAATGTCCGCAATGTCATGACGTTCCGAAATTTAGCAAGGCAGAAACGCGGTGATGGATGCAGCGAGACGTACGAAGCGATGTGCGAGTCGATACATCATTAATGCACACACGTCACACGTAGCAATTAATGTATTTGTATTCGTGTACCCGAGCAAACTTCCATTCGCTGACACGCGTTTTTATAACAAAAACATTTCTCTCACTCTCTTTCTTTCTCTGTTTCTCTCTCTCCTCTTCTTTCTCTCTTCGTGTTTCTTGCTTTTATTATTTCTCTTCAAAGATAATCATAGCAAAGTTCTATACATTGACCACCGACGATAAATATCACATAACGAGGAAAGTTGTAGCTCGTTACTCGATTCTCGCGCAGTTTATTTGTTAGAAGCCCCGCACGCGTTGGCATACACGCGTCCGGAAAATCTAGCTACATCACAGGCGCCGTGTCTAGCTAATCGCTTTTCTATCCTTATTTTATTAACTATGTCCGGTGTGCTCGTGCACCGTACTTATCTCTCTTTCTCTTTCTCTCTCAAATGAATATTTGCCGCGCGTTGTTCGTCAATGATCCGCGATTAAACTGAGGGGACTCCAGGGGGATATTCAGTGACAAAAATATTAAAAGGTGTCAACAACGCAATCGCCGCATACGTACGTACGTACTTGCTCGCGCAGCGCAACGTGTGCGGGGCTCGGTTGTGTTTTATTTTTTTTTTTTTTTCAGGGGACCGCAAGGAAGGGTTCGGAGATATACCTGTTTCAACATCAGCGTAAGCAAAGATCGTAAAGTACATTACGATAATTACTACATAGTCGTGTGGCATCATTCGATCGGGCCTCGATGTAATTAAGGTCGCGCGTTTCCACGAAGAAGAACATAGGAAAGAAAGTAACGATGAGTCGTCTTTTATATTCGATACGCGAAAAAAATGTCTTTTACGCAAAGAGAACTCCCCCACCCCATACCTTTTTTCCCTTTCCTCCTTTGTTTGTAACAAACGTTCGTTTGAGGTTTTAAGAAATAATGTTAGTCTTAAAAACGATTATCTTATAAGTGTCTACATCTTGTGTCGAAAACTTGAATATAAATGTTGGAGTAGGTATATGACAGAACGATTTTCGCGATAGCCCCTGCGCGACAACTGTATCGTACGTAACAATTAGCTGACGCTGGTCAATAATCAGTTTCATTGCGTAGGGTATTGGTGTGGCATGGTATATGTTACCATAGTCGGCTGCTGGCCCGGTGGCAAGGGTGCGCTTGCTGTCGGAGGTGCAGCGGTTGCCTGGGCCGGTTGCCAAGTACCTGCACCAGGAGTAGGCATCCTCATGCTGTTCATGTATTGGGTCTGCTGTCCATAATATTGACCGTAATATTGGGCAGGTTGCAAGAATTGCCCTTGCATCTGTGGGTAGCCCTGTGGATACCAGTAACCCATCTGCTGGCCGTATCCGTAGGGATATTGTCCAGCTCCTGCTGTCACCTGTTGTACAAATAATTTTCATAAAAATTTTTAACTTTATAATGGGTACAATGCATGTACGTATGTGTGATATGAAAATATAAATTATACAAATTTTAGGTAATTAATGCCCTCAATCTTAATTCTCAAAGATTTCTATAATTGACTGCAGAGAGAATGAATCTTCCCCTCCCCCCAAGATAGAGATATATAAATCTAATATAAAAGATAAACTTAACAATATCTATATAAAAGGTAAACTGTGAATAATTTGTGTAGATCTAAGTAAGATATGGAATTTCTTAAGAAGATGCTAGATACCGACATACTGCAGATTTATATATTGCTCTATTTTCCTATTTGGTCATATAAAATTGCAAATGCTCATACAGAATAAAAGTACAAATATCAATGAATGTTGGAATATATACTCCATATGTATGAAAAATTAAGAAATTTTTGTTTACAAAATTTGCTGTTTTAATTGATACAATTTATTTATACTATTTATTTCTATTTTTACTCTGTATAAACATTCGCAATTCTATTCTAATCAAATAGGAAAACAGCACAAAATTTAAAAGCTGCATTGTGTCAGTATTCAGCATTCTCTTTTATAGTTTTTCAACTAGATACTTTTACATATACATCAAAGGATGAGTTAAGAAATGAAAAACTTGCACTGCATTATTATAGCTTCCCGGATCGTGCGGTAACTTTTCTTTCAAATCGACGTTTTATCTTATTCAATCACACAGAAATCTTTCTTCATACTCAAAGTTACAAAAAAACAAAATTATTTTGACAGAATTATGCAAACATATGTAATAAAACAAAATGTGTATTATTATTTGCACAAATTTAAAGGTTTATTATTTGTAAAACATTAAAAATTTATATGATATAAATATATTTGTGTTAATTTATTTTTAGTTTTTTTTTTTAAGTTTTTTAAGTCTTTACGTTAAAACAAATTACTTTTACTAATTTGTGTGGGGAAGATGGTAATAGTAAAAGTAATAAGAATTGTAGTTGCATATTTTACAAAATTGCTGTTGCGTCACTATAGTGGTTTCCCGGATTGTAAGGGTTAACGTGTTCTTATGAAAATGTTGGATAAATATATGCAGATATGCATAAGCTATATAAAATTTTGGCAGAATCTCGACTGTAAGTACATATATAGGGTTTAATTTTAACAAAAGGCATTTTAACAATGCTTTTTATTTTACAAAAGAGTAGAAATAGAATAATGCCTTAAAAAAAAAAAACTTGTCTCATAACAATATTAGTTCCCTTCTACCAATTGTCTCCAGTTACCTGAGATATTTTTTAATCTGATTGAATATAAATTGTTACCAGCCCCAGTATCCCCTGAAAGAACTAACCTGTTGAGCTTGGTGATTGGCGTTAGGACCAACGCTATTTGGGTCACCGTTCTCTTTTCCCCAAAAACATTTAACGATGCTACCATTGATTTCTGTATTATGCGTCGACTCGATGGCGTGTGTCGCAGCTTCCTTAGTTGTAAACTTAATGAAGGCATATCCCTTCTCCTTAAACACTCTTATGTCTTGAATGGTGCCAAAAGGAGAAAACGTTTTCTTTATCAACTCGTCTGTGATACCGTTTGTAAAACCTCCACAATACACAGTACAATTGGTCGGACTACTTTGGTTGTACACCTGTTGAGAACAATATGTATTTAGAATCATTACACAAGGCATCGCATTGACTGAAGTATACAAGCTAAACCGGTTTCCTTAAAACATCACATCTATAGCCCTCATATTCACAGTTATCATTAGCTGTCTAAGTCTATAATGGCAGCCTATAATGTCAGCCTGTAATTATAGCCTACAATTATAGTGATTCTCTATTATAAGTAATATCAAGATTGCAGCCATAATTGGCATATTTGAAAGATAAGGATACAAAACTAGAAATACAAATGAGTGTTTCCACACAAGCTTCCTCAGAGCAAATGTAACTGAATTGCATCTAACTCACAAGTGAAGTAACAAAGGCTGTGGATATAGGCTAGGTAGCTTTGCTGCTATAATCACTGATAAGCACTCTATACGACAAATGTCACAAGGTTTATGCACATCGTCCAAAAATAACACAGCACAACCAACATGACTAACTAATGAACTAACTGATCGACTTACTGACTGACTGACGTACCTCTTCGTAGTTAGGTTTACTATTATTCGAATGTCTCGGCCTCTCCGACCTGGGAGGCGGTGGTTTCCTGGTGGACCAGTTCGTCCTGATGCTGCGGGAGCCCAACCATTGGCCGTTCATCGCCGCAATCGCTGCCTCGGCCTCGGACTTCTTGACAAACGATACAAATGCGTATCCTTTGCTCTTTAAAGTTTGAGGGTCACGCACGATTCTGCAATTGCTGATTTCGCCGAACGGCGCGAAGGCCTCCTTCAGAGTTTGCGTCTCGATCTCCGGCGAAAGATCGCCCACGAATATGTGATGATGATTGCTGGTGTCGAGCTTCGGCTGATTCCCCGGGCTGGTTGCCCAGTTAACCTTCATCTCCTTGTCCAGGAACGAGCGCTTGTTCATGGCGGCCAGCGCCGTGGCCGCGCACTGGTGGTTCGTGAACTCAACGAAAGCATACGGATCGTTGCCGGGTTCGCGGATGATCTTGCATCCTTTGACCGCGCCGATCTGCGAGAAGAGCGCGCACAAAAGGTCCTCGGACACCGTGGTGTCCAGGTTGCCCACGTACAAGGTACGCGGATTACTTTCCTCGCTCATGTTCGCGCGCTGCTACGGACACTGCCGCAGCGAACACACACACACACACACTTGGCTTACCGTTGGCACGCTCTCGCTAGCTCTACCTAGCAGCTCGTTGATAATACGTACGATTTCGTACAATTGTATGCTCTGTAGCACGCTGTCTGTCTCTCTCTCTCTCTCCCACCCTCTATCTTTCTTTCTTTCTTTCTCTCTCTCCCTCTCTCTCCCCTCTCACTCTTTCTCACTCTTTCTCGCCGCTCGGTTCACTCGCCTCCTCTCGTTAAGGTAGATGAGCTAGCCGACTCGCTCTCACGCGCTCGAGGCTACCTAGCGCTGCCTAGCTTCCTGCAACGCGTTACTACACAGCTACCCGCGGGAAGACGACTACCGTGGCGATTACTTCACGCCACTCGTGCCGCCGTGCTGCGTGCATCCAAGTGCTCGCCAGCAGCAGCAACATCGGACGCCGAGCGTCAGGCCGTTACTTTTTTCCCTCGCCTCGCGCACAACAGCACACGGCAATAAGAACGCGAAGCTACACCCAGCCTCTACGTCATACTAACATAAAATGGCCGCCCCGCGCCGCGCCGCACCGCGCCGCTCACGGCCCGCTTTCCCTTCGACGACGCGCGTGCTAACGTGAGGCGCGTGAGAGAAACGTGTCTGCGAGAATGTCTCACGGCGCACCGTCCGCTGTCCGTTGGGATTCCCCTCGCGAGAACGTTCGCGGTAACCGCAACGCGCGACCAAACACCAACAAACACAACTATCGACGCTCCGACACGGAAAAGACACGTGCTTTTGTATCATCCGTCGAGCTTTCGTAACAGGTAGCGCGAAAACTCACACAAACCACGAGCCTTGCAAAATTCATTCGTTACGTCGCAATCTCTGGGTTCCCCGCCGAGCAGCGCTGCCGTCTGTCAACGATAGAAACCATGCTTGACGATAACGTTATGTCAAATTCACATCGTAATGGCTCCTGCATACAGGACGCGGTAATACTTGCCACGCGGCGGAAGTCCGCGCGATAGCCAATATGTTGTTTTTCCGTAAGAGCTAGAAGGTTATTACGGAAAGCAGCATATTGATTGGTTGTCGCGCAAACTTTTGCCGCGCGGCAAAAGGCATTTAAGGCGCTACATTTAAGGCATTTTTATCGATAAAAGAGGATTCAGAATATGGACCAGAAAGCTTATGAGCCACTTTTAGAGGCTCATTTATCGTTAAAAGTTTATCATTAAAAGAGAATATGAACTCAGAATATGGGCCAAAGGGTTTGTTCCATATATATGGTGAACTCCAGCAAAATGTTGCGGCGACCAATCAGAAACCAGGCGCAGGTTAGGCTGCGGCAAGCGCCAGTATGCGCTTGGCTTCTGACTGGTTACCATAGCATTTTGCCGCATATATGAAGCAGACCCTTTAAGGCTCGTCTACAATAGAAGTCGTAGAGTCGTAAAGAGTCGTAAGTCGTAGAAATTGACCAATCATAGTTGGACTCGAGAAGAATAATTGACTCAGTGATTGGTCAATTTCTACGACTTACGACTCTTTACGACTCTACGACTTCTATTGTAGACGAGCCTTTAAGGGCTACCTACAATAGAGCGGGTGGGACCCGATTGACTACGATTCGACCTAGTAATTCACTAGATAATTCTTTTCATTGGTTGGTTGTGTCCAATCGTACCGCGGTCAATCGGGACGCTTCCCAATAGAGCATCGTATGTCGTATAGTAAGAAATTGACCAATCACAATCGATTATTCTTATAAAACTCCAGTATGATTGGTCAATTCCTTACTGCTACGGCGTACGATTTTCCATTGTAGATCGTTATGGAGGATTTACACCGCGTCCGATGTCCGACGTAGATGTCTGATATCCAATAGGAGAATAGCTTTCTAATAGAGGATTCAATTCTCCATTGGAAAGCTATTCTTTTATTGGATATCGGACGTCGTACGTCGGACATCGGACGCGGTGTGAATCCTGCATTAGTCTGTTTGTTTTTGAAGAATCATGGACATAAAAATATTTAGACAGAGCATATTTCCGTGGAGTTGAAGCTTAAAGAGACGTCTACATTGGAAGTAAATAGCAAGAAGTAGGAAGTAAGAGTAAGAAATTGACCACAGTCGAATGTGAGAAGAATAATCAACTATGATTGGTCAATTTCTTATTCTTACTTCCTACTTCTTACTGTTTACTTCCAATGTAGACGTCTCTTAAAGCCTATTCTACAATGGTAGTAAGCAGTAAAAAGTAAAAAGTAAGTGTGATAGAGGATTCATACTGCATTTGATATCTCCAACGTATGACTTCCGATATCCAATAAAAGAATAGCTTATTAATAAAGAATTCAATTCTTCATTGGAAAGTTATTAGCTGCATTCAACAGACTCAACAGTTGCATAACAGTTGAGCAATTCGTCAATGTAATTGACATCGGTCTAGACATCGGACGCAGTATGAATCTTCCGTTAGTCATAACTATTTTTAAAAATAATCGACTATGATTGGTCAACTTGTCTACGACTTATGACTATCCCGATAACCAAATGTTTACACGATGATCGTACGGTGCGTGCATGCTGTCGTTGTGCTATCCAGCTGCAGCTGCATATGACAAGTACAACATATTGACATGGCGTGCGAGTATTGTGAAAGCTCTGTGCATAAATATGATGGCACGTTTGGTTATCCGTCAACGTATATTACCTTACGTGATGCATCTATTTATAATAAAATTCTTATTTTTAATAAAAAATCTGCAGAAACGATTGCAACTAGTCATCTTATGTTGATTTTAAATGAAATTTAGCTTTTTTTATTTGATTTCTCACTATTTTACACCTGAAAATTTACTTAATACTGGTCGGACTCGAAACCTCCGAAGTGCTGGGATTCTGTAAGGGCCCTTGCAGAATGCCAGGCAACAGGCAATAGGAACAGAGAAAAGAAATTCTGATTGGTCAATTATTTCTATTCCTTGTTCCTATTGGCTATTGCCTGTTCCTATTGCCTGTTGCCTGGCATTCTGCAAGGGCCCTAACTCGTTATTGAAGTTAACGACAATTTCGTTATCGTTGCGCAGCTTTTGAATACCATAGAAAAGCTGCGCAACGATAACAAAACTTTCGTTAACTCCAATAACGAGTCACAGAATAGGGCTACAGTGCTGGAATTCTGTAACTCGTTATTGGAGTTAACGACGGAGTTTCGTTATCGTTGCGCAGCTTTTGTATACCGTAGAAAAGCTGCGCAACGATGACGAAACTGTCGTTAACTCCAATAACGAGTTACAGAATCCCAGTACTGGGGCCCTATTCCCAGTACTGGGGCTACAGGTTCCTAATCTATCACCTTGGCTACGGCGCTATTTCTGTAACTGATATTAAATGTTTTTATTATCCCTATATGCAGCCGAAGCAATAATTATAATTTTCTTATAATATTATTTAGTACAACTACAAAAATAAACTCTTTAGTTTAAATATTTCATATAATAAAAGATCAGATATAATAAAAGATTTCATATAATATAATAAAAAAGAAGTCAGAGATATATAGAATGTAATATTCATGAAATATTTATGTAAAATATATTGACATTACAAAGGTCATTACAAATACTTAGTTGTTGACGAATTTTACAACAGTTGCAAAGCAGCTTTCTCTACTGAACGCAGCCATTAGATATGATCAAACAAGGTGATGGTGGTATGGATTGTCTTCATTCAAATTGTATCTCATTTTTTCGTTTTGTGATTTCTCTATTTTTATAGCCTTCCCCGTAATGTATCAGACATATTATAAAAGAAAATGGAATATCCTATTGTAAACATTATTTTTGTTTACATAATACATAACTTCAAAATACAGCAATACTTCTGTTAAAATCATGTCGTGCGATTGCGCGAATAGACAGGCTGCGTTCCGTTTCATGTAGAGAACCTCTAGCACAGAGAATCGTCAACTTGGTCACGTGACCAGCTGATTGGCTGGCATAAATATATACGGATTTAGACATTGTGACGCCAATGCAGAACAAATGCTTATATATATATGGTTTTGCATCGGCGTCGCAATGTCCAAATCCGTACATGTTATGCCAGTCAATCGCTGAGTAGCTGATCACATGACCAAGTTGGCGATTCTCTGTACTAAAGGTTCTCTAGTTTCATGCATATGTGCGCATTTATCTATAGTTCATATCACGTATACTGTAGAAAATGCGCGCATAATACCTGAAACAGAACGCAGCCATTGGCTGCGTTCAGTAGGAGAAACCTGCTTTGCAATTGTGTAAAATTCGTGAATCTGATTGGTATATGCTCTTGGATTTAACCAAAATTAAGAGCATACTCCAATCAGATTCACGAATTTTACAACGCAGCTTTCTTTGCTGAATGCAACTATTGATTTGAATAAGTTTGATTTTGACGTGGCGAGAACGTGTTATTTTGATTTGTTTAAGAAACGAAAACGCCAAAAGAGTTCTTTTATAACAATAGTTCTTTTTTATAAACATGCATTCTTTATGTGTTTGTTGCAGAAAAGACTAATTTCCTTCAATGTAACGCTACATTAATAAAAATTACAATATACACATGGTTTCACAGATTATATATTTGGTTATTTTCATTAGTAAGTATATTTATATATATATATATATTGATGTATATAATTAACATGTGTGTTAACGTTATAGATCGTACGATCGAAATCGTAGTTCTCGTTGTAATAAAATGTGATGTTTCTTCCTAAACTCTATAATACTTTGCAATTATAAACTTCAAAATAGAATCAACATTGTTCTTTTAAAATGCAATTGATATTGTACAATCATGAGATGTATAACGTTAACAATTGAGCTGTAGGGAGAACGAAGCTACTTGGCTACCGGGGTAAGTTGGCAAAACCGAGTATTTCCGCTATTTTCTAATAAGTCAGAATTAAACAAGCAAGATTTATAAACATGGCCAAAAATGGCTTTGAAATCTTTGCTTGCTTGAAATATTCTGAAATATGTTAAAGAACAGTAGAAATAATCGATTTTGCCAATTCACCCTAATTTTCCTTATACAAAATTTTTTAACCAACTAGCCCCAGTCTCCCCTATCTAACTTAAAAATATATATAGTATGCTAGTCATAGATAAATCTTATAATATGTCACGTATATTATATATATATAATATGTATATATATAACTGGCCAAGTATGAGAAATATATAAATTGGACATCCTATGAGTATTAAGTGAATTCTATGTATCAAGTGTTACAAATATATTACAGCTACTCTATATAGTTAATATTATATTTTTACGACAAGAATACACATATCTTCGTTTAAATGACTGCCATATATATTACTGTTACATTATTTGTAATATATATATTTTAGTAATAAAGATATACAGAGATATGTATGTATTATATATTGTCACATTATTCCACTTATTATTACACGACTCATTGCACAAATTTAACAGAATAGTATTGTACGAATAGTATTTTATTTAATGAGCGTGATCATTTCCATGTTTGTCTGAGGTAAATAATAATTTACTAACAATATTGCACATTTTGTTCCCGATAGTGATGTATTCGATAGAAATGTCAAGAAGCTATAAAATATAGAAATATGAAGATGAGAAAGTCATATATAATTTTTGAATAATGATAAGAAAAGTTGAAAAAATTCAATAAAATGATACAGATGATAAATCTGTATTATCTTTTAAATATTTACTATTGTTTTCTAGTGTGTGTGTGTGTGTGTGTATGTATGTGTGTGTGTGTGTGTGTGTGTTGCAACTGCTGACAAAATATAAAATAATTGTAAAAAATTAGATTCACAATTTAACTAACACAATTCGAAAAGCAAATTAAAGAAGTATATTAAATAAAAAAAGTTATAAAAATTTTTTGAAACATTTCACATCAGTTATTTTAAACTAAATATTGCTAATACAATTGTTAAATTCCATTATGGATAACATATACAATATAGACTTCTAACTATTTTTGTTTTTTATTCTTATATAGGTATAATATAACAAAAGCAATATTTTAGAGAGACAGCTACATCAATAAAAGGCAAATTGTTTTTCATCTCTGTGTCTCTATTTCTATTTCTTACATAAAATACACATAAGAAATGAAGTAAAAATAATATTTAATATAATGCTGTCCCACTAAAGATGTGCTCTCTATCCTAGTACATAAATGATGTGACGCTTACATCTTTTTTTTTTATTTTTCTTACGCAAAATTTTGTTTTATACGAGTTAAACAAAATCTATAAACTTAAACTGCATATGTATAGAGTTCATTGGTTTGCCGCTATTCAGTCTTTTACAAATATTAAAGAGATGATACATAATATAAAATCTATACTCAAACGATGTCATGTCTTGTGTGTTAGATCATGCATGCAAACATATTTAAATAATGTAAAATGTATAATTTCAGTGATCTAACTCGCGGTAATCTACTAAAATAGTAATTCTAATAGATGAAAAGAATACTTTGTATTTACATTAAATTTAACAAAATTAAAAAGATAGAAAAATAAAACGGGGGAGAACTACTGTCGAAATAGATATATGTAAAGTAATAAAAAGTTTGAGAGGAAATGAACTTGATGCGCTATACAAAAATATGTACAGTTATTGTTGAAGATATACAGAAATAATGATGCGTACAATATCTGATACTGTCGCTATGACGTCAAAGCCTGCGATCTACAACGTTTGAAATTGCGTGACAAGAGTCTTGGTTGCTTTGGCAATATCGTAAGCGCATGAACGTACTTGCTGCAGACAACGATCCATGTGCTCGGCATCACTCGTGCATCTTTGAAGGCCGGAACATTCCGCTTGAAGTCTCCCGGTATTGCCGTTCAATTGGCGTAATGCAGATCTAATATTCTCCTCTATAGGATTCTACGATAATTTGATATTTTAAGCTTCCGTGATGTTGTCCAATACTTCGTTTATTTTCCGAGATTGGAACGTGTCTTCCTTGTATTTTGAATATTTCAGTTCATGGAACGTCGAAACCAAATACAAGGAAGACGCGATCTAATCCTGGAAAACAAACAAAGTATTCTATGATACAATAGAAGTGAAAGTCTTTCCCGCAATTTGATAGACAGGTGCTTCCACGAAACAAAAAAAACAAAGTACAGTAAATTTTACCTGAGGAAATATGGCGGTCAATTCAGCAACAGCAACGCGTATTCTTTCCGCACAAGGGACAAAAGCTTCTCGTTGGTTCGGATCTTGCATGGCTAACCACAGCTCTTGGATCCGCCTGGTAACTTGTTCCGTTCGTCGAGTCACTTCTTCGCTGGGCGGAAGATTAGGAGCACCACATTCCCACAGGCTCTGCGTGTTATTCCGCGATAATGATTCCGCGTCGCGCTTCGTCTGGAAAACGAAGAGACACGATATAGTGTACGGCGTTTTCTCTCGTTCCAAGTTGCTACAGAGAGAAATATTTACTTGGCAAATGGTTGTCGACCACGACGCCGGTTTCCGTAAGCCTTCTCTCGTTTCGTACATAGACGCCGGTCGTTGATTACCTCGGATAGTAGATGTCTTGATGTCGTGCACTGGCTCCAGTTCTGGTTCTTGTTCTCCACCAACGTGTCCGTTTATATTGCCATCGCCGGAATTCTTTACCTGAATCAACGTCGTCGATTTTTTAATTATTCATGCATATCATATAATGTATAAAGTTTCTTCTTAAATGTTCAACACAAATTACACACATGTGGACGTGTCATCAAAGGGAAAATATTGCTTGTCGCGTGTTAAATAAAATCTTATGTAGTTACTTGTAACATGTGTTTCAATTCGCTGTTCTCTTGAGTGAGCTGCTCAACCGTGATCTGTAAAGTATGCACTTGCTCGCGCAGATCTTGTACAGTTGATTCGGACAAGGTCAGTTGTTTCTTCAAGACTTCTACCATGGATGGGAGACCCTTAGCCATCGGTGTAAATGCTTCCTGAAACAACGTACCGCAATCACAACGCTTGCTTCAGACTCGTGTCAAGCAAGGAGCGTAGAGCATGTTACAATGATCACGCAAAGTAAATGTTATATAATGCTATACGCATTATTATTATTATGATGTTATGAACGCATAAATCATGTCGTTTAGTGGTGTATGGACTGCAAAGTGTGAATCAACGCCCAATAGCTCATTAATGTCTCAGAATGGTCAAATTCGACGCTCTTGGCAATGGTTGCACATGCACAAACAGACCTGTGCACTTGCCTAATAACACTGCCTACAGAAAAGCCACGTGCTCAGCCAATTCCTTATTCCTCTTTTTGTTACTAGTGCCGGTACCTTCAATATTTTATCAGACAGCGATAAAACATATCAATATGATTTTTTCTATCTTTATCACAATTTTTTATTTAAAGAAATATAAACTTACACAAGATATATCTTAATATCAGCTTGTGTATTATATATATCTGATCTATAATATCCGAACTATTTATCTTTGTAATTCGAAAACATTAAGTTTCGGATAATATTTTGCAAAAGGAAAAAAATTTCAAAATTTCGTGAAGATTATGATATTTTAAGGGCAGGAAGTTGTTTTGAATTATCTATTTACACAAGAGAAAAACAAGCATCTTGTGAGACGTATATTCCAACTTATATAAAATTGTTTAATACAATCTAAACTACTATTCCAAAACTATTACTCAAAACTGTGCAAAATCGCGCTTGTTAAAGTTGTTTTTAAGAAGTTGTTTTTGACGAAGAGCTCAATTATCTCGGATTGAATTCAAGACTATTGTAGTATGTTCCTACCTCGTTATCGACTTTGGGTTGATTTGAAACGTCAGACGAAGTATTATCTGTAGATGTCAAAGCGTAGTCATCATCAGACGCGACACTGTCGTACAAAGGCTCGTCATCGGAAACCTGTGATCCGTGTTTACCGAGTTGTTCTTTCCGAAGTATAGATACCGCAGGATCTAAAGCGCAATAGATATTAATATAATAAAATGTTGAAGATTGCATTACGAAGAATGCTCTTTCGTAGTATTACTTTGAAGTGTGTTGTTAGAAAGCATATGTCTTCGGCCCGCCTCCACCAGTAAATCTACAATGAGAGTGGTGAATTCTTTCGGCGTAAATCTTGCTAACTTTTGTCTTCCTTGATTCCTCGTGGACGATATCTGCGGATTAACCGGCAGGAATGGTACGGTACACTTCTCCGGAAGGGATGCAGTCGAAAACCAAACTACAGGAAATATGAGACATTAATCTGTTTGCTATATGTTTTTAGCATATATTTCTCTCTCAATGGACCTTTTTTATTAAAATCAATTTTAACCCTTTGAGTACAAAGTAACGCAACGAAAAAACATTTTGTGTGGCTAGAGCTCGGCAAGATTGTCCAACATTTTGTCTATGGCTGGTAATATCAGATAGAAAAAAAATAAATTATATTAATAACAAATTATAACAAAATAATAATTATAATAAAAATGAATTAGTGCTCTATTTTAAACGTAATAAAGCCTACAATTGAAATTTTGTTGCTAACAATTTGAGAAAGTGAATGTACAAATAAGAGTTCTTAAAAAAACACGAGTAATTTAAGACTGAATGTATATATATACCCATAACACTCAAAGAGTTAAACTTGAATTACATTATAAGTTTAAGTAACCTTTACTTACCCTTCCGTAGGAATAGCATAACATAAATACATGAGATACCTCATTAGTAATCTAAATTAATTTATTTCATATACAATATGAAGTACGAGAATACTGGATATGATTTAAAGACACTCACTTGTTTCTGTTTCTCGGCGATCTACCTCATCGTAAACATCCATAGCTAATTCCTCCAATAAGTGGTTGGGTAACTAAATAAGAAAAAAAGTGAATTAAAAACACAGTAACAATAAACTCATTAAATTTTGAGTAATGTGTATTCCTACAAACCATTTGTAGTCTATTTCTTCTTTCTAAAGCCAGCTCGTTCTTGTCAACATTAGAAGCCAAGTCAGAAATAATGAGATGTTCATCACCTCGATGATTTGGCTTACGAGAGCATACATGGTATGTTAATCTATCTGTTACTTCATACATGCATTCAATTATGCGCTCAGACAAATCAATATGTCCTGCCATTCTGGAATAATAACAAGAACAAATGAAAAATCTGACTATGAAATATTCTTAGATTGCATATTAAACAATCATTATTTACTTAGCAATATCAGCGGCTGTCTGATCATTTAAATCTATTACGCTTGGATTTGCACCATTAGCTATTAAAAGTTCTACTTGAAGAACTTGCCCAGCACGAGCTGCAACGTGCAAAGGAGTAGTTCCTTTCTCCTGGAAACATTATATTTGATTTTACAAAAATGTTTTCATGACAACATAATTGTATTATATATAACAATTTATATATATTTACAGGAATAATATAAATCTCTGAAATAAATTTGTGTTAAAGCAGTACCTTGTAAAAGTAATTGGGATTAGCTCCCTGTGCCAATAGCCTCAATGAAGTCTCTAAATTGCTTGTGCGAACACTACTGTGCAACTGTCTATTGAGTTCTTCTTCAGTACAACATTCTTCCTTACTCGGTCGTAATATAAAGGCCAAATGTTGATGCTTTGCTTTAATAAACTCTGCCTTTATAGGACTGTAATATAACAAAGAACATGGTCATGCATCAGGAAAATATGCACAGAGCTAGTAATTACAAATATATCTAATATCTAAAGATAAAAGAGTTACAAATCTAATACCCAAAATTAAAAGAATTAACAAAATAGTGACAACCCCAATGGATTCCACATACTTGTAAGTGAGATGTCTCATTTATAGGATAGAACAATATATGATCAAGATTACTAACTGTAGAGGATCCTTGGCCTGTGGTTTTCTTCTACTAATCTTTGAGTTACTAGGATCTAGCAGGGAATGTTCCCAAATACTATTGGCTCCATTATCATTCAATGTATGCACCATCTAAAATATTTATACGATTATTTTGAGTGATATAATGCATAAGCTAAAGAACTGAGAAATATCACAGAAACTTTTCTTTACACTTTGAATACTATATACTGACATTCAATAGCTGTGTATTCCAAGTACTCTTATGCAATGACTTAATATGCGACACATGACGACCCAGGCTACGATGAATCCCGCAACAATCATCGCATAACAGAATAGCTCTATTTATTGATGCCCATCCTGGCTCTATAAAACAGCATATTAATCCTATAGTATTCTCTTAATTGAACAAACGTTGTTAGGCAGAATTCTATTACACAAATAAACTTAAATAGATATACATTTAACATTTTATTACTGAAGCTATTGCTTCAAATCAAAGCAATACCTAAGAGCATTTTTAACAGAACGCTCGACAGATCGAGTTATATATCTTATGGTGTATCAAAAGGGACATTAAATTCATTGTAGCTATAGGGCAGGTTTGTAATTATAAACAAAAATGATGCGCTCACCGAGTGCCCCGCAATCGGCGCACACGTCTGCGCTCACTCTGTGCTTGGGACGTGCCATACTTTTTTCTCCGCTCAGTTAGTGACACTCTCGCGCATTATATTTCGCAACGCGAGCACACGACATAATCAACAATCGACGAAGAAGGCGAATGACGACGACAATTTGGCACGGGCGTATAAACGCGAATCGAGTGTCATTATGCTCTTATTACGAGGCATTCGGAAGGAGACAGAAAAAATTGCTCTAGCACGATCGCATCGCCCGTCAGCGGCGAACTCTTCCACCATCTCGCGCCCAAACTCATTCAGAGACTTGTCGATAATGTAGGGCTCAATAGAGACAATCGATCGGTCTATAATAGAATTGCAGTTTTGATTTTTTAGGTTTTCGCGGTGTCCATGCATATTAGATTTAGTTTCCGGGTTTCCTCCCTGATGAAGCAGACTAAAATGTTCGCGAAACGTCGAAATCAAACAAAGATGAATTTACGCGGTTCAAACCCGGAAACCAAATCTAATAAGAATTGCAGATTTTTTTTTCTATTTATTTATATTTGGAAATATATAAAATTTCTTAATATCATTCTTGTATATCATATTCTTGTATATCATTCATTTCTCAGAAACATTCGTTCGTACAAATGTAACGCTATTCTAAATAAAACTTTATACATCTTATGTTTGCACGCAAATCAATATATTAAAAATGCCGCGTCGATTAATAGCGTTTTCTATACATAACATCCCATATACATACCATATACATACAATTTACTTATAAATAAATATTATATGTAGAATATATTTATTTCTTAGAAATTAGAATCTTATTTTTAATCTTAATCAGAATCTTAGAAAGATATATCAATGAGAGATGACCTGCAAAATCACTGCAAGTCTGGCGAATCGGAATACAAGTTCTGAAGATCGGCCAGAATCTTGCTCGACAAAGATCTGGTGCTACTAGTTTCGGGGCACATATTGTTGTTCGATTCGGTGGAATCAAATCGTTTGATGTTCGGCGTCAGCAAGCAGCTCATACGCGACTTCATAGCCATATATTCTTTCCAAGGTTTTCCAGTCTTCTTGTCCTTGCGCCCACTCATCAACGGAGTATTATCCATACGCGACATAATCGGCGTAGCAGGCTCTTTGCTCGCGATATTCAATTCATGTTCTAAATTCACGAAGCTATCATTATCTGCGTTTGAATTCTTCAGAGCCTTCGCCATCAATCGCGCGGAACGCCGGCGCGTTTCACATGAAGGCTTGGAGCGCTTCGCAGACAAACTTATACCCTTTTCGTTTTCCTTATTGTCCGCAACAGGTGTGAAATCGATTTGCCGCGACGGCTGTGTTTCTACGCGATCTTCTGTTGCCTCAGGCACGTTAGTTTCCGCACATGTCAATGCATCAGAGTCGAGTGTTGTAGAAGTACCTTTTGAGTCATCAACTTCAGTGGCGATGATCTGAACATTTGACGACAATATTGTGCTCGCATTATTGATTACTTCTGCGTTGTCGGTGAAATTTCCGGTCATCTGCTTTTTAATCTCGATCTCGTTGGTAACTTTACTCGCAGTTTTCGTGGACAATAAGTTTATAACGTTAATTGATGTCAATTTCAATTGGGAAATATTCTCCTCCAGTCTGCACATGATATTCATATGAGACTCCAAGTTGGATGTCAAAATTGCTAGTTCTTTCTTGCTGAGAGTCACATACTCACAATCATCATCAATACCGCGCTGTAAATCCACACAAGACTCACTCATCTTTTTAATAGCTTGTAAAGGTACACGCATATCTTCAATCGTTATCTTTTCTACGCCAGGTGTGTATACAGCATTCGTTTCTAAGTTGAGATATCTACCATTGTGCAGATTGACATTCTTCTTCGCATCTTTACTATTATTATGCGTGGAAAGCACTTGCGGTTTGTCAATTGTGACGTCACCATCGCTATTTTGCTTGCTGCAGATGTTAACGTTCAAGGCCTCATCGATATTTGAGTGCTTGTGATTTGCTTTTTTCACTGCATTATTTGCGTTTGAATGGGAATTAGAGGAATATAAAATACTTGTGACGGGCCGATCGTTCGTTTTAAATGTCTGCAACGATGTATGCTGTATGACTGATGTTGTGTTATTTTTCTCTTGCACAACAGGATTATTTACAAGTACATCTGCATCTTCTATAAAGGGAGAATTCTCTGACACCTCGGATATTCTAGGATATTTGCTTATGGACTTTTCTGTTAAGATACGCACTTGATTTAAATGTGGAAACATAGATTTGCTTTGCTTGGAACTGTTCTGTGCAACATGCATATTCCTTATGCTGTTTGGCGGCAGTATAAAGCTTCTTCTATGAGTTTGCAAGCTTCTCTCACTTGCTGTGGATTTATTGTGCAAATTACTCGTGCTTGTTCTTACAAAGTGTTTGGTTTTTCTTGTAGTATGTGGGGTCTCTGTAAATTTCAAATTTCGCCGAACATTTTTCTCACTGTGATGAAATCGATTAATCATATTCGCTCCTGTAACATAACAAGACACATAATAACTGTTTAATAAAAAATAAAAGTAATAATTTAATAAAATTGATAACTAACAAGTCACAACGACATAAATACTATTCATAAATAAATAAAATAAAAACAAAATATACACACACTCACCACTTTTTTTTTGAGTTGATTTCTTTTTCACATAAGGTGTAATTCTTTCAGGTTGACTTATTTTAACAGCTGAATCTGCAAAAATATATACCAGTATCTATTAATAGAATTGAAGCAATATTTTCATATATATGTAAAAAATATCCATAAAGTTAATAAAATGTTATCTTCATGTACAAGTATATTGAAAAGAATATATAATATATAATATATATAATATTATATTATATATATATATATAATATTTTATAAAGAATATAAAAATATATAATATAATGTTTAATAAGATAAAAATAATAATTTAATAAAATTGATAACTGACAAGTCACAGCAACATTAATACTATTCATAGATAAATAAAATATATACATACCATTTTTCTTTTTAGTTGATGTATTTTTCCCATAAGGTGTAATCCTTTCAGGTTGACTTATTTTAACAGCTAAATCTATAAAAATATATATCAGTATCTATTAATAGAATTATCATAAAGCAATATCTTCATATATAAATAAAAAATATCCATAAAGTTAATAAAATGTTATCTTCATGTAAAAGTATTGAAAAGGATGTATACATATAAACATATAATACATATAAACATTTTGTATTACCTTTTAGGCCAGTTTGCAATTGTTTAGGAAACAATTGTGCAATTTTTACAGGTTTAGATATTTCTCGTACTAGAAACAAATATGAAAAAATCATGTGGTCAATATATTTAGTTACATTGTATATTAAGGAACAAGCAAAGAAATAAACAAATAAGTAGATAATAAGCAAGTAATAATAAGTAGATAATGTGAATAGATTCTTCATTTAGAAGAATTATTGTAGCAGTACAAAAATATATCAAGATATTATACAAGCACAACATACAAACAATACAAAAAATCAATATTTTATGGACCAACCTTTGCTTTCAGATTGTGATAGTTTCTGGTAATCAAAATGATCCATTTTTCTCCTAATATGATTTATTGTGGAGTTGCACTAAACAAAAAAACATTCTTTTAAATCCCATTATTTTAGTGGTAAATTCAAATATGTAAAACAATAGTCTTCCTCAAAATATTTAAAGCTTAAAAGCACTACGATTCGATAGCCACATACATATGTTTGTATAAAACATACAAATCTACTATTTTCCTAAATAATCTTATTTTATACATAAAATGATATACACACTGTAGAACTGAAATTTCTTGACATGATTTCTATTTCTTCAGAAGCATATATCTAAGTTTATTTATTCTCTTCGTTATACTTAATTGTCGCACAATATTACACACCTTCTTATATATATTAATATGTTAGGTATAATTATAATATTAAACACAACAAACACTTCTTGTTCGTCTGTAATCATCTGTGACTCTCTTCGTATTATTTCAAACTTTCTCATAACCGTCAACCACCACGAAGTATAATAAAACTAGTTGCGACAATGGCTGCGTTCAGCAGAGAAAGCTGCTTTGCAACTGTTGTAAAATTCGTGAATCTGATTGGAGTATGCTCTTAATTTCGGTTGAATCCAAGAGTATGTACCAATCAGATTCATGAATTTTACAACAGTTATAAAGCAGCTTTCTTTGCTGAACGCATCCAGTACAACAGCAGCTTATTGAACGCTTAGTGAACTTTTACATCCGATTGGCATATTCCTTTAGATCTAAAAATATATACCAATCAGATGAAAGAGCTCAGTGAACGGTTGTAGTACTAAATGCATCATTCGTTTACAATTTTGTAATGACCGTTTTCCAATGAATACTGTGTCACACAAAGCTATTTTATTGGTTACTTGTTATTACAGAAGATATCTTTAATAATGTGTAGCCAAAATAAAATGACTATATGTAATAAGTCTTCTACAATAGGCAATAAAGCCAGAATTCGATCGAATGCACTAATGCGCCCTCTTTCTTCTGCTACTAAAGCCAGCGGAACACGATGCTTGTTTCGATGCTGGTTGCTTGCTGGATAAAAATACTCTGTTTTGGTTGGTGCATTTCCATCCATGAAATGCACCAATCAGAACAGAATATTTCCATCCAGTAAGCAACAAGCATCGTGTTCCGCTGGCTTTAGTAGCAGAAGAAAAAGGGCGCACTAGTGCATCCGATCGAATTCGACATTAGATATACGTTAAGGCCAAATCACACTAGTGATTGGCGATTGACGATTGACAATTAAAGATTAGATTTTAACGAATCAACAAACTTCAGCCTTGCCTTGCTTTGTTTCAATTGGTCAAGTTCCAATCTTCAATCGTCAATCATCTGTCGCCAATCGTTAATGTGATTTGGCCTTAAAGCCAAATTTCCAATTGCTTAACACATCTTGACACACACGTACACAAAACCAGTTTATTGGTCACATATTATCTAAAATATCTCGTAAGATAATATGCAACCAATAAACTGGTTTTGTGTAACACAGTGTACGCTACTGGAAAGCACCCACTAGCGATTGGCGATTGATGATTGACGATTGAAGATTGGAACTTGACCAATTGGAACAAAGCATACCAAGGTTGAAGCTCGTTGATTCGTCAAAATCTAATTTTCAATTGTCAATCGTCAATTGTCAATTGCTAGTGTGATTTGGCCTTTACTACAATCACTCTTTTACTGGGTGCTTTCCAATTGCTTAACACATCTTGACATACGTATACAAACCAGTTTATTGGTTATATATTATCTAAAATATCTTGTAAGATAATATGCAACCAATAAGCTGGTTTTGTGTAACACAGTATACGCAACTGTAAAGCCTATTCTACAATTGCGTGAATTTGGTTGTAAATGGTTGTAAGTGATTACGACAACCAATCAGAGTAAAGCAATCAGTGAATAAAACATTCGGATTGGTTGACCCTTAGAGTTATCGCACACAAATTGACATAACTGCATATGCATAGCATAAGACCATTGTACCATATGACCATATGACCAATGAGCATCGAGTATTAAGTCGCCATATTGGTGTTCGATGCTTAATATTCGATGCTCATTGGTCCATACGATCTTATGCTATGCATATGCAGTTATGTCAATTTGTGTGCGATAGCTCTTACGTTCACGACTACGCTTACGCAATTGTAGAATGGGCTTAAAGCACCCACTGTCGCGCATGCGCGAAGGACGCGACCCGGATCAATATATTGAGCGCGATCCATTAGACACCACAAACGCTTTGAAGCGCCTAAAGGGAAGCCATGATTAATCTATACGGCGCTTTGAAGTATCTACAGCGTCTAATGAATCGCACCCACCGACTGCGATACTCTTTCACTGCAGTGATGGATTTTGGCAAAATATGTCTCGCGCATGCGTACACAGCAAACGCTCGGAGTCCTCACTGACGTATATACTTTCGTCGAATCTGAGGTATCGTTAGGGCCCTGTGAGAAAAGAAATGTGAAGGAATTAGCAGGAGGAAGGAAAATTGCTTTGATAGGAATAGAGTGCAAGTAATATGAATAATAATAAGGAAATTGACATATTTGTTATTTACTGTAATACTGGAATACTCTCCTTTTTGGTTTCTTGCTCCTTTTCTCGATGCCACTTGATGTCGGCTGCTGCGGATCATCCATCTTCTTTGTTCTAACAAATTTATTATTTTTTCAGCTATTCACTCAGTACACGTTGACACTTGTTTATAAACACACATGAGAACAATATAAGGGCCCCTTATAGCACCTACTACTGCATTCTAGATACATTTCTGAACGCAGCTGATTTCTAGTTGTGACATCACTTACGCATGCGCACGAAGCTTCTTGGGACGGCGAATATCTTGCCAAAATCCATCATTGCTTCACTGTCGCGCACGCGCGAAAAACACGATTGGGATCAATACACTGGTTTCAAGTGAATTCTACTTTCAGTCGTTGGAACATGCTTGTAGAAGTCATTGGGTACGTTTAGTGAACACAACAGTTGAGTAATTTGTCAAGTTAATCAGCCTAGACTTAGAGGAATCTAACAGTAAAAACCAATGATCATTGATTGCCACTGATCGCTTTGTTCCGTTAATCGCAGTCATTGTATCTGCGTGTATTTACGTGAATACTGTGTGAGATATTATTAAACAACTCGTGACATAATTACGAACGTTTAGTTAATTATATCGTGATTATTAGACAGAAACTGGTCAACAAATATCGCGAGAAAGTATACGTACTAGCTTTCTATTATTCGATAACACCGGCAAATATTTTATATATATTGTATACATTGTTTCTATTGCGTACAGTTTGACATATTCCAGAATTCCGCGTTAGATTTTACATTGAAAAGTAATTGACGCGTTACATGTTTAGTTTTTTAAGTTTTTTAAGTGCTATGGGCGCATATAAAATATTCTCTGCAGCCTCTGAACATTCAGCGTGAAATGTTTGCAATGAACTATGGACGCATGTATATGTTTGGAGTTGGTTTTATCATGTACTATCGGCATTTTCATGGGCTACCGTTTATACGTCACCCTTTCAGCTTGTTAGCAATAGTTTCAATTATAGGCTTTATTACTTTAAGCTCAGAATATCAATTTTGTTCTATCTAATGTCGCTGCTCACAGTTGGAATGTCTACGACACTTGACAATGGCTACATTTAGAAAAACACAACAGTTGTACAACGGTTGAATAATTCATCAACATAATTTGCCTAAAATTAGAGATCTAATGGTAAAGACCAATAATCACTGTGTTTTCTGAATATAGCCAATGTAATTGAGTTTTGTATCAGAATATTTTTTTGTTGCACTGCTTCATATTCAAAGGATTAAGAGTTCAGAAATTCAGAGAGAGAAAGAAAGAAAAATACTTGATCAAATTATAGATTATACACAGAAAAAGTATTTGCACTATTTATATCAGAGAAAATTAATTAGAAGTTTTATATTTTTTTTCAGTTGAGTGACATTTGTGAAAATGTCTACTCCACCACATTTACTGAGTCTAAAGTGGGCCACAGTAATGGACCAGCATGCCCAACTGGCTGCCCAAGTACAGGCACAGGCTGCTGTACAAGCCGCTCATACTCCGGTAGAAATTATAGTTAAGCCATCGATGTCTGAGATGTCTGAACAACCAGAGCTTATATCAGAATATGAACTTCTGGAAAAAGGTAACATCTATAGAAAGCAATTATTGCAATATATAGTCTTTTTGCAATAACTTTATTTCAGCACAAAAGTGGCAAGTGCTGCAGTTAAAGCGGTTTGCAAATTTAAAAAGGAAGCTTGAATTACTGGATATCGATTGCCCTTGCGGATACAATCTCATGTTCTGCCCTATTTGTCAGGAATACTGAATTCACACTGAACATGTGATACACATACTAAATAATTACTTTACTAAATGGTAACTTGCACGCGTATCGCACTATTTATTTTAAATTACTGAGATTTTCCGTGTAGTGAAAGCATTTCTATCGTGCAAGCGTTTGGCGACGGCGAATGCCGCGCGCGTTAAACCTTTGAGAAATTTCCCAACTGAAGTATCATTTTCCATTTAATCTACGTTAAAACAATATACAAACTTAAATTTACACGTGACTCCGGCGTGACTAAACTCGTCGCCTCGATATAACTTTATTTTAAATAATTTTAATATTGACAATGCTTGTCAACGACGATGCAATTGATACATCTTCTTGATGAGTATTATACTATAATATATGTATTTATGTAATATATGTATGTAATAATGTATGTAATAATATATGTATGTAATATGTAATATATGTATGTATAATACATACATTGTCGATATTAAGGATTCTATATCCTCACTTTGACTGTTATTTAATTATGTCAAAAACGAGAAATGGCATTTCAATTTATATTGTCAAGTTATGGAAATTGAAAAATACATGCATAAAATGATAATCTTGATCGATTCAGCACATTTGTAAAAATGTTCAGACACTTTAACCTCAGTAATATATATATGTATATATAATAAATTTATTTAAAAAATTTTAATTTAGAATTTTAATAATAAATTTATTAAAATACATTTATATATTAAATTTATATATTAAAAATTATATGTTAAAAATTAGTGTAACATGCAACTTGCATTTTTAACCCATCTGATTTCCCCTGATTTCTATTGCGTTAATTTTACGGCTGCTTATTAATTGTTTAGGTTAAAGGAAAGTGTCCGGATATTTTTATAAGTGTGCTGAATTGATCATAACTGTCATTTAGTGTATGTATTCTTTGATTTCTATGTATACTGTAATATAAATTGGCATACAATTTCTCGTTTCTGACATCATCAAATAAGGACAGCCATAGCAAGGACCTAGGAGCCTTAAGATTATTTAACAGAAAGTGTTTATTTAGTACGCGTATCAAATGTTTAGTTTTAAGTTGATTGTTCCAATCCTATAGTAAGCTACCTGACAGTTCAAATGTGCAGGCGGCCTAACTCTCCTCTTGAAAAGAAGAGGGACGATTTTCAGCGCCTCTATCATTGGTCTCACCAACCGAACTAAAGAGATCACGTGATGTGGAATGAGGATATTTAAATCCATTTGGGCGCGCACGAGAGAATTCATATATTTGGAGTATAAATCTTTGGTTTGTTCTTTTTAGCTGCACTGCTAAATTAATGCAATAAGTTAGAGTGAGAAAAATATATTTGTCTCATTTTAACTTATTACACTAGTTCAGCAGTGCTGAAAAGAACAGACCAAAGGTCATATCTTACAATCAAGTAACGGTAATATTATATCAATATTATAATTTTCTACTTTCTTCCCGGTTTTATAGCTAAAGACAGTGTAGCTTTGCTTCTCCTTTATTTTAAATAAAACTAAAAGTTTTATGTTAGCAATAGTTTCTATGTTTACTAGTGTAGCAGGCATTCATTGTTGTTAAATTATTTTTTATATATGTCTATAAATAAAATATTTTATATATATGTATATATAATTTCAATAATCTTTCCTTTCCTGTCACTCCATATATTTATGAAGTGTTCTGAACTTGGGACTGGGAAATCTGGTCATCTTAAATAAAACTGTTATAAAGTATTGTAGGTTTAAGTTGTGTGATTATATGGTAAGTTACAATAAAGTAAAATTTGTACAAAATTATGGCATACATTTGATACATATAACTTACACACAACATACTTTTATTAATCTACCAGAGATAAATATAAATCCACGGTAACATATAGTTATATTAAAATCTTTTAGGAATGAATATAAGAATAAAAATTAAAATCTAACAATGATTATGTAATAGTATATGATAATCTTTTATAGGTGATCACATTCACATTATAAGACAGGTACACGACTTCAACTCTTCCGTCAATATCTCTAATACAACAATAATATATGTATATTTATATGGTTCACGTTTATCTATTATATTATAATAATATAAAGTAATTTATATGACAATTTCAACAAATTTCAAGGAACTTTTACAAGAACGCTACAAATACTAAAAAATTATAACTAGCTATATTGCTAATAATGTTATAAAAATAAAAAATATCTATAATATTTTTAAATCGTAAATACTTAAAACTTTTAAAACTTTTAAATCGTAAATAATTAAAAGAATATGGCAGAGTAGCATCGATTTGATGTCTCAGATATTATATACAGATTATCTGACAATGACACAATGCTTGTGTACAGACAGAGTGAATCAGGATATTGTCAAAAGCAGGGTTATGCTGTAAATTACAAAATTACATCTACATCTACATAAATTGTTTATATATTTTCTGCGAGATATATATGACACGGCTGTTTGTCATGTAAACAATATAGATTATATAAAATATTGTAAATTATATACCTTCAAATATAATAACTAAACAATATAGATTATATGAAATATTGTAAATTATATACCTTCAAATATAATAAATTATATGTATGTTCAAATATAATAAAATATATATCTGTTCAAGTCAATTTGCTTACTGAGTCATAATTTACACGTGAACATCTAATCATTGTGAAGAGATTCTAAATATTTTGGATGAGATCTTACTTATAAAGATCGCCTTAGCACTTTCCGTGCAATCACACACTTCCGTTGATATTTTGTAATCAATTCTTTACTAACTATTGTGAAATTTGTAAAACGATACAAAATTTTCCTATACAGTTTAACGTACAAGCGAGTGTCATTATTGTTATTAGTGCTATTAGTGTTGTGCCACCAGATACCCTGTATAAAGTGAAAAAGAAAAAGAGATCAACGCGCAATAATACAAAATTTAGCTTTGACTGTAAAATTACATTACGGCACCATCAGATATATTGTAAGTTACCCACTGCGATGATTCTGCACGAAAGAAATTATACATCGCCTCGCATTATACATTAGAGCAGTCGGTCGAATTCTCGTCGGACGAATTTTTCGCGCGGCAGTTCAAATTCTGTACATAGGGGTTGATCTTCTTCTGAAGTGATACCCCTGTTGTGATGGTGTGCGAAGAACTTGTGCTGGGGCAACCACTGCGCGTTGAGTTTCTGGAGAATATGTCTTCCCGACAGCCAAATTTTTTTAGTAGTAGCTTCCTGATCTTGTCCTTCCACACGAATATGATGAAGATAATGAGACCCTGCAGAACGTTCGTCATGTCGCAGATGTACCAGACGGCTGGCGGCGTGTTCTTGAACATCCACGTTATTATATTCATGCACTTGGTTATGCCCATTATGATAAACAACTTCAGGTACAGGTTGAATCTGTAATATATTATTCATGTTATATTTCTTGCGATTACGGCGCGATCGATTAGTTTTATCATCGACTACGTTAATGAGGACAGCCTAAACTCAAGTAATGATATCCGTGCAAGTGCTGTAGTCTATGTTTACACGGTTACGTTGGTTAGCACGAAAAACTAATAATTAAATGTGCAAAGAACCTTTGAGAGTTTCAAAATTATAACATCAGGCACGTGAAATGCATGATAGAACGATGATGTTGCAGATTACAGTGGCTATTTCAATATTTAATTCAAATTGTTTTAAAATTGTTTTAAAACTGTTATATTGCTCTGCTATTTACTGGTTATAACGATATAACATGGCAACATAAATATAAAACGTTTTAGTATTATATCTACGTTATGTAATATTTTTATATGTAGATATTAGATTTGTTTTAAATTTAAAAATATATGGCTTAAGATGGCTTTTAGATGGTTTAAGATAATTTAAAATGGTTAAATGGCTTTTAGTTGGTTTAAGATGATTTAAGATGATTAGATGGCTTTTTTTCTCGTACGTTTTTCATACATAAAATATGATGCGTTAATATATAAAAAAAAGATGATCACAAAACAGCAAAACTTGTACCATAAAGTAGACTTTTGTAGTACTGTGTAAACGTAGCTATTATTTTAATTAAAATGATTTTTCGCGAATACTGCAAAGTGGAACCATTAAAACGGATCACTATCTTTGAAATTACTTAAATGCATTAAAATCGCTGAGTTTGATAATCTTACTATTCATGTAAATATTCGAAATTTTATCTACAATGAAGTATTTCTGGATGATCGCGGTTATCTTTAAGTAGACGAATAAATGTTAAAAAGTAACGAGGCAAATTTCGAGTGGAGCTTAAAAGTTTTCCTTAAGATTTCTTCTAAGAAGTGTGGCTTTCATCCGTTCCTTTTACACCAAGAGCATTCACTTCGATTTTATATTCGCACGGTCGTTCGTCATTCTCGTCGTTCGCATCGTCGGAGGCATCTCGCGCCCACGGTCAAAACGGCGGCAATGTTTATTCCTTCAGAAGATTTCGTAATTATGAAAGCGAACCACGGCATGGGAAAGTCTCTGTCTAAAAATAATCACCATGTGATTATTGTGTAGGAACGAGGGTCGATCGACATTATGCGAGGTCATTCGCAGGAGGCGCTATATCGATGTTATTAATTTTATCAGTTATATGGATTAATGCAGGTATTCCCAATGCAAAATTTTTCATACATAATTATATAAAATTATATATAATTTTACATTATTATATACAATTATGTATGAAATTTAATACATGTTAATACATGTTACTTATATATAATCATGTATAACTTTATACACAATTCCATATATAATTTTACATAATTACGCGTACAAATATATGTAATTATATATATAATTATATATAATTGTATATAATTATATATAATTTTATATTATTATATTTATTATTTACATATAGTTATATATAATTTTATATTATTATATATATAATTATACATAATTATGTATGAACAAATTTTATATACAATTATGCATTGTTCGGAAAATGTTCAGTCGATGGTCTCCCAATAGACCAGCGACCATACAAATCCGGCACTCTACATATACAGGGTGAATATTATATACCGGAACACCTGAATATCTCGAAAACAAAGCGTTGTATAAA